AAACAAAGCCCCAAAATTAGGTTCAGAGCCACTGGTTGTGGTACTTAAAGTGATACTAAACCCACACTGTTTAACTTACATTGCCCCTTGTATTTCTGTATGTGGATGATGGCACTGTAATTAATTATTTTAATAAAAAAAAACAAATCTAACTACCTTTTTCTTAATCTATATGCAGCTGTCACATGACCCAGATCTTTCCCAGCCTTTCTGCAGGGAAACACGAGCAGGAGGAGCTTCTAGTCCTTTGCTACTGGTCACATGTTCAAAACAAAATAAACAGCCTTTGGCAGGGGCGGACTGACAACTCATGGGGCCCCCGGGCAATAGGGGATCATGGGGCCCCTTTGTCCCCGCCCACACTCAAACCACACCCAAAAAAGCCTATGAAAGGTACCAGGGGCATCTCATGGGGCCCCCTACTGACCCCGGGCCCTCGGGCAGTGCCTAGTGCTCGAATGGTCAGTCCGCCCCTGGCCTTTGGAATACAGAGTAAAAATCAATAAACTGATTTAAATTGCAGTACAATTATATACATTTGCCGAAATAAAATCTTTATTTTTTGTGAAAAATCAAGTATTTCACACAAAAAAGGTATTGAGGGCAGTTTATTTATGTATTGCCATATCAGAGGCAGAAAAGCTGTGTCACACAAAACCCTGGGCTGGACAAAAGCCTGTGTAACTTAGAATGCAACAGGGAAAAGGTAACTGGAGGTCGCTTCCCTGTAACCATCAATAGCTTCTGACACCTCTCACACCGGAATTTTGGACCACTCTTCCTTTGCAAACAGCTCCAGGTCTCTCTTATTTTTTCCCAACAGCAATTTAAGATCTCTCCACAGGTGTTCAATGGGATTTAGGATCTGGGCTCATTGCTGGCCCACTTCAGAACATGCCCTCCAGCGTGTGCCACATTTCTGATAGCTTTTTATATGTTTGGGGCTGTCCTCACCCAGGATAGCAAACCAGCTTTCTGAAACATGACCCAAAAACTTTGTAATCCTCAGATTTCATTGCCCTTACAGCTGCAAAACCCCAAAACCTAGCATATTTTGTAATTTTGGGGCATTCCGTTTTCGGAAAACAAGAATGATGTATTGCTTTACCGAAAAGCTCTATCTTGGTCTCATACAGATCTGTCCACAAGACGTTTTCCAGAAGGCTTTTGGCTTACTCAGTACATTTGGCAAACTGTACCATGTCCTCTTGTCCCAGTTACTGTGTAAAAGCGTTTCATTTCATTTAATGTCGTCATAGTGACAGAGTGAGCCTGCAGGACAGCTTGAAAAACTTTGGAAACATGGGGCTGTAATACCATCACTATTCTGCGTTGCAATTTTTGATAGTTTTTCCTCATCCGTCCATGATGTGGGATTAGCTAGTGCCATGGGTTGCAAACTTCTTGATGAAAGCACTGTGATGCAAATCTAGTTACTCTGGAATGGGATGTAACCAAGACTATATTTTGCCCAGCTCAGGTGACATCTGTCTCCTGCTTCCATGCTTAGTGTGGCAAACAGACTGCAAAGGTTAAATGAACGTCTCCCTCCTGCTTTGTTGCTTTCTATATTGCCCACACCTGTTACTTGCCCCAGGTGAGTTTACAGGAGCATCACATGCTTGTTTTTTCCGGTATTGCTCAAAGGGTGCCAAAACATTTTGTCCAGACCCATTTTTGGAGGTTTGTGTGACAGTATGAATTGTCATTTCTTTCCTCCCTTTTTTTGTTTTTCAATACACACAAAGGGGAATAAACAATGGGAGTCATGCAATTGTTGACACTACTTCCAAATATCAAGGGTGCCAACAATTTCGGTGACTGTATAAAAACTTTATTATTTTGTGGAAATACATTGAGGGCTCAATGCCAGTCACAGACTGGTGTAGACTCTGTGGGAAATAACAGGGATGCTGAGGTTGTGTTTAGCTGACTAATGGGCATGGAGGAGGAGGAAAGGAGTGGGCTGTCATTTACTACTTTTACATGCCCACAAGTGACTCTATAGTTATTTTCATAGAAACGCACTGAAAACTACTATGTTTGAACTACAGCAGCAAAATAGCTGAATTGGGGGCATGAACAACAGTGGAAGAGATAAGATGCAGCATGCACCCAGGAACTTTTTTTTCTACAGTGTAGTGACCTGAACAACATGTAATACAAATTTTTGATAGTTGCACATGATGTGGGTTTAGTGACTAAGACTTACCTCAGAATACAAAATGCTGTGCATTGCTGCTTGAAAGACATGTTTAATGTGGATTGCTCAGGAAACATCTTCTCAGACCTTCCCCAGCCTGAATGTCCCCCCTTTCACAGCAAAAGGGGAACAGGAGTCACTGCTTGTTGACACTCTTCAACTTGTGCTCATAAACAAACTGGAAAAATAATTAGGGCTCAATCACAGTAGACTCCTGGGGAAATGCATGCAGTATTCATGTTCCTGCATGTGCATTTTTGGTGTAGACATTTACTATGTTTGAACTAAAAATGCACTGTTGCTTCATGCAGGATTTTTCTGCATGTCAACAAGAAAATTTCAGTTTGCAACATTTTGCATGGAAAATGCAGCAAATCTTTGAATTTAAGGTCAATGAGGCAAGAAGGATCATTTGGTGGGAAAATGTCGATCAGGGTTGGACAGCAGTAACACCTGTTCCTCTGCATTCATCTCAGTTGCATGGAGCAATGCAAGCAGGTAACTGGGGGGGGGGTCATTAAAGTTTGTTTTTATTGACAAAGGTATATTTAACATGCAATGAAGGCACAGTAGACTTGGATATACTTTGCTGTCTGATTTGTTAAATATAATTATTATTATTATACAGTATTTATAAAGTGCCAACAGTTCGCTCAGCGCTTTACATTACAGCGCAGCGCATTACATTACAGATATAATACATATATAGCGTCACATTCCTTTTTACAACTGGTCGCAAGTCTTAGATTTATTAAAGAAATGCATGGGACTATTACAGACTTCTGTATAATAATGTGATGGGCCTGTTTTCAGATTTTGCACCAGGACCTGTGGCTTTTACCTACACTCCCTGCATGTTTCTGCTTAGTAACTTTCTGAGCATATCCTAAAACATCAAGTGAATTTGTGGTCCTGAAAGCTGTCACCTTCTTGACGTCACCAATTTGAGTAGCCCTTCGTGACCAGCAAAAGGGTACATCCCAGGAATTCCCACTATTCTTTAGCAGCAGCACCTGAACTTCAGACCTTTGTAGCGGATATGGCTGAAGTCAGCACAAATGGATGCAAACGTGTTAGTATGAGGTCATTAGCCCATTGTGATGAAGCCTTCATTCCCTGAATGAAAGTTATCCTTCTAAAATTTCCCACTTGAACTATTTCACAGTTGTGTTAAATAAAATCAAAAGTGTTAGTGTGTTCCTCTTAAAGTGGATCTCTGACCTACACACAAAAAAGGCTTCCAGTTTTGTTGGGATTGCAAAAATTCAAAATGTGCAAGTCTTCAGAGACTCTATTGGCTTTTATTGACAAAAAACACGCCTGCAAAGTGTGTATGTTGCAGTACCTCTTTAAAGCATCAATTTTAGTTCATAATGGTTTGTTTATCTGACTCCTCTTTATATTTTGCATAGTTACCGTTTCTGTTCCATTGTTCCCTTCTCCATTTATTTTTTCCATGCATCTGTTGTGATCAACCTTGCTTTGCTTTTCCCTTCAGATTGCAGCCTGTGGGCTTGCTATGCTTGTGCTTCTAATAATCAGCTCCAAAGAATGTGGGGGATGGCACCTAAGGGTCATGTGTGGGTAGCATGCCATGGTCTGGGAAAAGAGGGTCTAAAAGTGAAGAATGATGGGTTCTCGTTTGAAGCTTCTGGAAATATCTACCGCTAGAATAATAAATATATGTTGAGTCTAAAGCTGGCCATACGCAATCGTATATTATGGTATATTATGCATGTAAACAATAGGTGAAGAACTCTTCAAAAACTTATCAGAAGTCATCTGCTTAGGTCAGATGTTTTTGTCCAACATTTCTTTGCAGTTCTAGAATTTAGAGCAGCTACTCTACTTCTCTTACAATAGCCAAACACACAAGGGGCTTATTCACCAAGTTGAAAAGCAAAGGACACTAAACCAAAGCAGCCAATCAAAGTTCATCTAGTTCAACTTTAGTAAACCAGAATTCGATTTACTGTTGTGAGCTTGTGCACTTACTTCTACTTTTTGCTCTGTTGGAATGCACAATCTAACAAAAGTGCTTGTTAATGCAGTGGGGGATCTTTAATGACAGTTGAGACTCTTATGAATGACCAACAGTATCCCATATATAACCAGTGAAAACCTCAAAATACACCCTAGTGTGGTCAAGAGTCTCTGTATTGAGAAAAATCATACCACTCCGCCTGTTTTCATGAGATACCGGTAATAACATTTACAGGGCTATAGAGTAAAAACAAAAATTGTATAACCTGGACCCATTATTTGATTTAGCAGTGATCATATTTCAGGTCTGGAACACAGTGCATACATATTGGTAATTAGCTGGCTCTGAATATTTTTAAAAATATTTTTATTCATATTTTTTTTAAGATGTGCATACCATAGGACAGCACAACGCACATAGGTTCCTGTGTTAAAAAACTGGTGGGGCACAGAGTGTGCCCTACACAAACTTTTATGTGTAATTTTTTGATCATCCTGCTTGCCAACAACTGATGAGAACTTTCTGTGTATGGTCACCTTAAGAGTAGGAGAAGCAGAAAGAATGTTTGCATGTGTCTGGACCCTGGTCCTACCTTCTGGTATGTGAACACCAAGCAAGCTGCAAGTTTTGTGCTTGACTTTGGAATGGAGTGAAGTGGGCTTGGCTTTCTCTTTGCTCATGGGTTTCATTGTGAAATTTTATTCCAAATTGTTGACCTTACCTTTTGTGTAATAAATGTAATGTTTTCACCCAACACAGGAAAATTTCATCAACCTGAGTTTCTTAAGATTGTTTCGAGCTGCACGACTGATTAAGTTGCTTCGTCAAGGTTACACCATTCGCATCCTTCTGTGGACTTTTGTGCAGTCGTTCAAGGTCAGGAATTTAACAGTGCCTGATTATGGAACTTTTTTTTGTTAGTAAAAAAATATTTCTGGTAACTGAGGTATATTCTCTTTGTCCACAGGCCTTGCCCTATGTCTGCCTCCTTATTGCAATGTTGTTCTTCATCTATGCCATTATTGGTATGCAGGTAAGCAGTCAATGGCCAAGTAGTGTTTCCAAAAATGGGAAAAAAAAAACTTCGTATTAATTTTTCATTTTTAAACAAAGAAAATGTAAACTCTTGTTAAGGTTGGAAAAGATTTTCACCTCCTACCCCACTGGTCCCAAACTGCTAACCATTGCATCTGTTTAACCAGCCCTTAGGGCACTTGTCCTCCCACTGACTCCAACCATAGGGCACTATTCCTCCAAATTACACAAACAATGAGGCACAGTTCTTTACAATGACACCAAAAATGGGGCATCAATTCTTTTTGTGATACAATGATGGGGTTCTCTTTTTCCCACTGATACCAAGAGCAGGGCACTATTCCTTCCACTGATACCAAAGATGACACATAATTTGTTGCACTGACACAATGATTGGGCACTATTCCTCCCAACTATTACCTGTGAAGGGGTACTATTCCTTCCACTGACACCCACTAATTACAGGTGCTAAGCCATTTTTTTACTCCCATTGCTAACAGTTTTTTTCTTCCACTGACCTCCAGACCTGAGGCATTGTTTACTCCCACAGACCACCGACACTGGGGCATTTTCTCATACTACTGGCCACAGTCCATTTCCCCATAAGTTTTGAAATTTAGTGAAAATGGTACTTTGATCTGCTAAAAAACTGATTGTGTTGGAATCAGGGGTGGACTGACCATTTGGAAACTCGGGCACTGCCCGAGGGCCCGGGGTCAGTAGGGGGCCCCATGAGATGCCCCTGGTACTTTTTTTCATAGGCTTTTTTGAGTTTGGGCAAGGACACAGGAGCCCCATGATCCCCTATTGCCCGTGGGCCCCATGAGTTGTAAGTCCGCCCCTGGTTGGAATGCAATTGTGCAGGTGCATAAGAAAAGTTTTCTAATATGGGTCAGACTTCTTTATGAATGTGGCTTCAGCCTAAGGAAACACATTGGAGATTGTTCAGTGCATACCTTCACATGCATATTCACTAGTTATTCTCCTTTGTTGTTCTTTCAGAGCTGTTACTTTATGTTAAAGTACTGATGTTTTATATCCATTTCCTGTTATTGATTTCTCTTTATTTTTAGGTGTTTGGCAACATTGCCTTGTCTGACGAAAATGCAATCAACCGCCACAATAACTTCCGCACCTTTTTTCAAGCACTGATGCTCCTGTTCAGGTAAATTTTTAGATTAGGGAGGGTTTTGGACCTCTAATAAATTTTTATTGCCCTGCCCCTGCTGTGGAGATTCCTTTTCACTTCCTGACTTGGAGACACAGCAGGAAGTGAGAGCAAATCTTCCTAAAGTAAAATCTCACTTTAAACTCCTTAAAAAAATGGATTACAGTTAATTTTCCCAGACTTACTTTTTTTTTCACTTACATAACATTTTTATTCATTAAGTGCTTCTTTATCCTACAATTTATGTACTGAAAGTCTTTTCTGTTTAATTGAGCTTATTGATGTTTTTGCAGCCAATGTGATACTGTGTGTCCTTCTGTACAGGCTTTTGTTCTCTCTTAGATAACGTTTTGTATGTCATTGTGGACTCTAATATGGCTTGTTCTAACCTTCCTGTAGGAGTGCCACGGGCGAGGGCTGGCATGAGATCATGCTGTCTTGTCTCAGCAACAGACCCTGTGATCCACGCTCCGGTAACACCACACCAGAATGCGGAAGTGATTTTGCATATTTCTACTTTGTTTCCTTTATCTTCCTGTGCTCTTTCCTGGTGAGTGGGGCTTTCGATAAGGGGTACACTTTACCCATGTGATTGCTGACACAGACTTAAAAGTTCCAATTTTATCTATATCCTCTATTGAAGCCTCAAAAGATCAACAATAAAATTCACAGATATGCAATATACATCCATTAATAGAAAATATATTTATGATCTGTACAGCAGATCGTGATTCATAGCAAAATGGGGAAACCATACATCCGCATCAGTTTGCTGTGGCTCACCCTTTAATATGTGACCTGATCCCTGGCAAGGATCAGAGTGGTGTCTCAGTGGTCAGAGAAGAACCTCCACTACTAATCCTGCAAACACTTCCAACTGGGTCAGTCTACAGGTTCACATTTCTGCTAACACGCATCAACCTGGTTTTTAAGCTGAAGTTTGGTGTTAGTTCTTCATCAGAGGGTCCCAAAATATGGGGTAGTCTCATCCTGATCAACAGATCTTATTACAACCCCAGCATCACCCCATCCCTTAGGGAAGCAGTTGCCACTGGACCACGGGATAGTCTGTCACATCATTGCGCACACAGATGATAACTACTTGTTCTCCAGGTATCAGCTATCCCCAGAAATTGTCAGACCAGAGCAGGGTAACAACACTCTCTGAGTTCAAGAATGCTACAACCTCCTGTTTATTTACCTGTGCCACATTGTTATGCGGATTTACACTTTTATCAGTACAGACCGCATATAGACCCATACATAGAGCAGTATAGTATATAGTATAAACCAAAAAGTTAATTTGGACTCTTCTATCCTTTGGCCGAGCACTCCTTCCATTAATGCACAGTATGTTTGGCTTTCTGCATTACTGTTCCTTGTATACGAATTAAGAAGGTCCCATCTCCTACTCTCCTCTGACTCCTTCCACCATCTATTTTTAAGAAACCACAGATGTAGAAAAAGCCTGCAGTGAGCTCCTGCTGGCTGCAAATGGCAAATATTAAATATTGTGATATTTTGTGTACCTGGGTAAAATGATAAAATAAAGGTTCAAACATGTTATACTTTCATGCTATGTGCTGTTTTGCACAGAGCACCCCTGATAACTCCTCTTCTCGGGTCCCCTGCCGGAGCTCCTGGCTCATACCCCTTGCTGAGTGTCCCGAGAACAAACTGCTTGCTCTGGGGGCATTAATGCATGCTCGCTTCTGAGCTGTGTGTCTTAAAGATTTGGCCCTGCTCCCTCCTCACTGGTTGTGATTGACAGGAGCCAGTGCCATCTTAATAGCATCATGGGCCCCTGGGCAAAGGAATGCACTGGGGCCCCTACCAGGGAGATGGTGACCTGCTACATGTGCCATGGGAAACAGTGAATGTGCCTCATAAATGCCTCTCCCAGCCCATCAATTGCCTGTATATATGTACAGTATGTCTGTACAGAGTATGGGGGGCAGGAGGGCACAGTACCAGGGAGGTCAGGAGGGTACAGTGTGGGGAACAATAATGTATAATACAGATATGCTCTTCTCAAACAGAGCAGTGCAGGGAAGCTGCTGTCACAGATCTTACTTGATCTGGCACCTGTCACTGGGCTAAAATGTATAATTGAATCCCTCGCTCCCTACCTCCTCCCCAGAGGGAGGGAGAGAGAGAGAGAGAGGCATGCCTTTGCAGTAAAAATCTCTTCCCTGTGCACATTATCCAGATCGCCTTCTCTTAAATGGATACTTCTCCTGTACAGTTCTGCTCCTTCTCAGCCCCCTCCTCGGTCCCCACGGCAGCTCACTTCTTTCTCCACAGGACTCCAGCATAGCTCCAATAATCTTTTCTCAATCAAAGGTGGCAGGCTTGAGAAGGGGGCGGGTTACAACAGGGCCCATTGGCTCGGTAATCAGCAGGAGGCAGATCAGCTCCTGCTGTTAGTACCAGAAAGAGTTAACTCTGTCCTGTGGCTAGCCAGCAGCTGTCCCTATTGTTTCTACAGTGACACTGTCACTGTGACAGTGCAGGAGGGGAGAATCTGCAGGGGCCCTCCATGCAGGACAGGATCGGCACAGCCAAAGACAGCACAGTTCACTGTGCACCCGACCTTCTCCCAGCTGGGCAGCGGCGGGAGGCAGAGCAACCAACATTCATGATCGATCACAGACCCAACCACTCAGGGAGGCTCAGGACAGGTGGTGACAGCCCAGCTGGCAGGCAGATCAGAAGGTGCCAGCTTCCACCAGACCGCCGGTGTCCGCTCAGCCCAACACCCAATCCCCACTGCAGTGCTAATTTGTCCAGCCTTGATGGGGCCCCATGAGCACCTGGAGCCACTGTGTAGTTCCCAGGGGTGCCACTGGCTCCAGCTGCTGTCTCAGCCAGTGAGGAAGGAGAGACCCAGGAGAGCCGCTGCTCTCGTGCACATTGCTGGATCGAGATGGAGCTCAGGTTATCTATTGGGGGGCTGAGGTGGGGTTGCCACTCTACATAGATTCTGGAAAAGTTGAAGGCGCAGAAGAAATAAAAAATTGTTCACTTCTAATGAAAAGAAAGATCATACAGGAAGTCCATAAAAAATCCAATGTCCTATGGGTAATTGGGCCAGTAGTATCATGCACCATAGGCAGCAGCACCCTTATAGAGTGAAGCTGCGAATTCTGCAGGTATATACAAAAGGAACACAGAGGGACACCAGACTAAGTGCAGCATTAAAACAATAATATTTATTAAAATTAAGAAATTGGCAACTCACTCAAAATTGGAACAAGCGGGCGTGTATTACCATCCCGGTGCAACTTCCGTGTGGCCCTGGTGTGTCCAGTGGCCACAGTGATCCAAACGATGGTGGTGGAGTGTCAGGAATTGGCCGAACATCGTGGTAACCAGCTTGGAATGCAAGATGGTGTCAAACCAGAAGTGATGTCAGAGGGACAATGTGACTCCATGGATGTAGGTGGTAAAGCATTTCGAAGCTTCTGCTTCTTCCTTAGACCTTTATCACATCGTCCTGCTGATGTCACTTCCAGTCCAATGCCATCTTGCATTCTAAGCTGGTTACCATGGCGGTCGGCCACTTCCTGACACAACACCACCATCGTTTGGATCACTTTGTCCACTGGACACACCAGGACCACACTGGAGTTGCACCGGGATGTTTATTGCACCGCCTGTTTATTCAGGTTTTGAGTGAGTTGGCAATTCGTTAGTTTTAAGAAATATTATTGTTTTGATGCTGCACTTAGTCTGGCGCCCCTCTGTGTTTCTTTTGTACTCTACACAGATTCTGTGGATGATTAAGGTGGTAATTAAACTCAGTGTCTTATCTGCAATAAATTAGACTCAGAAACAGTGTAATTTATATGTCTTTGGCTTTAAAACGGATGAAGTGGCAACCCTAGGCTCAGCTGCACACTGAAGGTTTTTTTGCCTTCATGCATGAAGGTAAAAATCTTTAGCCTTTAGAACTTTAAAGGATGATACTAATGTGGGCTTAACCACAAATATAATAATAAATTCCCTTTTAATCTCAGTGTGTGGGAAGACTTGCTTTGGATATGAGGATGAGGTTCCCTCGAAAAAAAAAACCTAAAAATGTGTTGTCAATTTTACTTACAGGATGCTGTTTGCTTTGAATAATTCCATCTGACATTTTTTTTTCCTCTCCTCTCATCCCGAGTAGATGCTCAATCTCTTTGTGGCTGTCATCATGGATAATTTTGAGTATTTAACTCGAGACTCCTCCATTCTGGGTCCACATCATCTTGATGAGTTCATCCGTGTTTGGGCAGAGTATGATCCAGCTGCTTGGTACGTTTTAAGAAAAAACCCTCCTTGTATACTGATTACACAAAAGAGCTTGTTTCAGGTGACCTTGTTAAAACTCATTTTACGAATTTTTAAGAGAATTTGTCATCAGGTAACAAAAGTAATGTTGTGAAGGATTTTAATTAGATGCTGTACTTGGTTTCCCACAGATGAAAATTGTTGTGTATTTTGGAGCAAAGAATCTTAAAGGAGGCTTGTAGCAAGGAAGAAGGCTTCTTTTGCTGACCTCTCCTTAAAGTACTAGCTACCTGGCTGCCACTGACTTTTTTACAGATTTATTGTAAAAAATACCTGTGTGAGGCCTTATTCACACAAACTTACTTTAGTGTACATTTGTGTGATGCCCCCATCTGACCGCACTGAGATGCACAGTTGTTTCATGCATCCCTGTGTAGGCAGTCATATTCATGTCAATTAGGACACAATGACTGCATTGATACAGCCATTGCTCCTAATTTCACATCCATGTGAGTATGGGTGCTTGTGTGTTCATGTCCCCGGAACACAGACAGTGTGAGTTTGAGAACACACACACATGGGCGGATGTCAGATTGGGAGCAGTGGTTGTGTCCGTACAGCTGATGGGTCCCAATTGACATGAATGGAATTGTTTGCACAGGGATGCATGACGGTTCAAGTAATTCCAACTGAGACATTAGAAGTAGCTCCCATAAGCAAAAAGACTACCATAATTAACAGACATTGACTCGTTTGGTAATAAAGTAAAGAGCACTGTAATACTGTACAGTTACATCCATCAAGTCACTTATATTTTCCCAGTAGAAAAGGTACACTGCGTGAGCATAGACCCTTAGCTATCTAATAACCTCAGCCTAAGTTAACTTAACTTGCACAAATAGACCATAATACTTAACGGCTACTTACATCTTTTGTTAGGCTACGTTCACACTAGCGTTGTGTGCAGGCGGGCAGAGAGGCGTTTGGGAAGCGGTTTTACCGCTTCCCAAACGCCTCTGCCAATTCTGCACATTACAGCACATGGTGCTGTTCTAACGGGAGCGTTTGTGTCGTGTCGCGGCAAAATGGACGCCTCTGGTCGAGTCAGGAGGCTTTGAAGCCTCTTATTCTCGTCTATGGTGCCGCTCCGCAAACGCCCGGCCTGCGTTTGCGGTGCGGTTGCGACACGGTTGCGGGGCATTTGCGGAGTGGTAACACCACTCAAACTGCATTATAGGCGTTTGTGGGGCGTTATTAACGCTCGGCAACCGCAGCTAAACCGCGCATGCGGCGTTTGCCGAGCGTTAAATGCTCCGCAAACGCCGGACCAACGCTTGCCAAATGCTATAGGGGCGTTTGGCAAGCGTTGGTAAAACAGCCAAGTGTGAACGAGCCCTTACAATAAGACCTCTCCAAAAGGTGTAATGCCAAGACTGTAAATGTACATGAGAACTCCATGCTCAGAAGGAGATCAGGTGGAATGGTGCCAGACCAGCTAAGGGAACCATAATCTGTTAAATTTTCAGATCCAGTTCCTATGTTGGTATATAAACATTTCTAGGGAAATAACATTATTAACTTGGTTTTTCCACTCCACAGTCATTGGGGGGTTAGAGTACATTCATTTTTGGGCAATGAAGAGTAATCTAATTATAGAATCTACCGCCTCATCAGGTATTATAGAGTAATCAAAGATATTGAGAAGACACAGTTTAGGACCTAACGGCAAAGTAGTTTGATATATGGAAAATATAAGGGACATAATCTCCTGCCAATACCTATGAGGTTTTGGGCAGTACCATATTAGGTATATAAAATCTACCAGACCTCTGGCACATCTGGGACACATCTGTCCCCACGCTTTCACCTATACATTTTAACAGGTGTTTGGTAAACACTATAAAGGATGAAAAAATTTGGTGAGCCTATGAGTTGGGGACAAAGACACCAGGGTAAGAGGTCAGTGCCTGCTCCCATAGGTCCCTCATCAAGGGACCCAAATCAATCTCCCAACCTTTTCTAGGATTAAGGGATTAGGGATTAATGTACAGTGTTGAATCTCGGTTATTAAAATCCCATAGAGATGGGAAATAAGCCCTTTTATTCCCTTTGAGTTATTCCATAAAAGGAGTATGGCTATTATAGCCCTCCCACTTCATCAGCTTCCTTGCCTTCAGCAGTAGCATGGGATATTGCTGATGTGCAGCAAAAGTATCAGCTTCGAATTGGGAAAATAACAGCTAATCAGGGTAATGGGAGAGCAAGATTGCTTGGGTAGGATCCTCCAGATCTTTTCCCCCCCCCAGTTCAGAAAATGTTGGAGTTGGGCAGCTAGGAAGTACATCTTAGGGTGAGGTATTGTTATGCCACCAACATCATATTGCTAGGCCACCAGCGTATTTTGCTAGTTAAAGAGTGGATAATTTATTCGTGGGGGTTTCTTTTCCAAATAAGCTTTCTTGTTTATGCCAGTGCTGAGGTAGCCAGACTGGGGAACTGTGGAGGATATACAGTAGTTTGGGTGCCCAAATAATTTTAATGATTAGAGCGGTTATCCACCATGAAAGGAATCTTGCACTAGCACTTACTTTGCCTACATTTTACCAGTATTGGGAATAGATTTAAGTCCAAATACTTAGGGACTGTTAGGTGAACAACTACTCCCAGATATTTAAAAGAGCCAACTATGTTAATCTTAGAGGCGATGGAGGGCAGGTCCCTCGTTAAAGGGTCCCAGGGTAACAGAACAGATTTATCCCAGCTTATTCTAAAACTAAGTCTCCAAAAGAAGATATTATATGCATCAGAGATGAGTGGTTGCTGAGTGTCACCTAAGTAAAGCAGAGTTTTATCTGCATATAAACTAATTTTATCTTCCCCAGTACACTGCTTGAAGCCAGTGATATTAGAAGCTTGTCTAACAGTCACCGGCAGGGGTTCCACTGCCAGTGCAAATAGCAGCGGGGAAAATGGACATTCCTGTTGCGTGCCCCAATAAAGACTTAACGGTTCAGACAGCACCTCATTTATCCATATTCGATCTGTCAGGGAGAAGAACAGTAACCAGATCCAATTAAATAAAAGTAGTCCCTGTACCAAAGGCCCTCAGGGCCTCCTAAATGTATGTCCACTCCACGCTGTCAAAGGATTTAGAGGCGTCTAAGGATAACACTGCTCTGTCTCCCAAGTTATCAGTGGGGAACTACAGGTTGAGGAACAGCCTTCTAATATTAATGGAAGTAGACCTGGCTTGGATAAATCCCGTAGACCAGCTTTGTGATACATTTTGAGAGTCTATTAGCTAATGCTCATGCCAGAATTTTTACGTCTGCCTTTAGGAGCGAAATAGGTACAATTTAGGGTATTAAGCATCTTTTCCAACTTAGGAATCATGTGGAAGTTACTTGAATGAGTAGTTAATACATAAAAAATGTTACAAGTGGGTCTCGGATAAATATGAGGCATCAGGAATTTCAATCCATTCTTTTATTTGTTATGCATTTATGTTTTTGTGTGATACTGAAAGCATTACAAGACACTTCCAGGGTCTTAATGCTATCACATGGCAATCTGTGGAGCCTACAAAGCCTTTCTACATGCCAAAGCTGACCTGATATGGAAACCTCAGGGGGCAGTTGTTGGCAATTGAGGGTGTCAGCTATGCAACCAACCAACGTTGCTCTTTATCCCCTCATGGTTTCTTGTACCCCTGGAGACTCTGAAGGTGGCAAACCTGCCACAGCCACACTTACCAATAAAATTTCAATTTATGCTATATTGCAGAATTTGCAGCAGAAGGAATAATTGGGAAGATAGCAATAGATCCAAGAGCTGTGGCAGACTAACCTCTCTGCTCAGGTCCTCGGGTGTATGAAAAAACCTGGAAGATAATAGGGTCTGCCAGATTCCACTTGTAAATGCAAGGTTAATTTGAGCTGTATGACTTTTAAATTTTCAAGCTACAGGATGCATTCAGCAGTGCTTACAGTGGGGATCGAAAGTTTGGGCACCCCAGCTAAAAATTTGTATTAATGTGCATAAAGAAGCCAAGGAAAGATGGAAAAATCTCCAAAAGGCATCAAATTACAGATTAGACATTCTTATAATATGTCAACAAAAGTTAGATTTTATTTCCATCATTTACACTTTCAAAATAACAGAAAACAAAATAGCGTCTGCAAAAGTTTGGGCACCCTGCAGAATTTATAGCATGGACTGCCCCCTTTGCCAAGATGAGACCTGCCAGTGTCATGGATTGTTCTCAATCATCGTCTGGGAAGACCAGGTGATGTCAATCTCAAAGGTTTTAAATGCCCAGACTCATCTGACCTTGCCCCAACAATCAGCACCATGGGTTCTTCTAAGCAGTTGTCTAGAAAACTGAAACTGAAAATAGTTGACGCTCACAAAGCTGGAGAAGGTTATAAGAAGATAGCAAAGCGTTTTCAGATGTCAGTATCCTCTGTTCGGAATGTAATTAAGAAATGGCAGTCATCAGGAACAGTGGAAGTTAAAGCAAGATCTGGAAGACCAAGAAAAATATCAGACAGAACAGCTCACGGGATTGTGAGAAAAACAATTCAAAAACCCACGTTTGACTGCACGATCCCTCCAGAAAAATCTGGCAGACACTGGAGTTGTGGTACACCATTCCACTATAAAGAGATACTTGTATAAATATGGTCTTCATGGAAGAGTCATCAGAAGAAAACCTCTTCTACATCCTCACCAAAAAAAATCATCGTTTGAACTTTGCAAATGAACATAGACAAGCCTGATGCATTTTGGAAACAAGTTCTGTAGACCGATGAGGTTAAAATTTTAACTTTTTGGCCGGAATGAGCAAAGGTACGTTTGGAGAAGAAGGGGCACAGAATTTAATGAAAAGAACCTCTGTCCAACTGTTAAGCATGGAGTTGGATCAATCATGCTTTGGGGTTGTGTTGCAGCCAGTGGCACAGGGAACATCTCACGAGTAGAAGGAAAAATGGATTCAATAAAATTTCAGCAAATTTTGGATGGTAACTTGATGCCATCTGTGAAAAAGCTGAAGTTAAAGATAGGATGGCTTCTACAAATGGATAATGATCCTAAACACACCTCGAAATCCATGGGGGATTACATCAAGAGGCGTAAACTGAAGGTTTTGCCATGGCCTTCACAATCTCCTGACCTCAACATAATTGAAAATCTATGGATAGACCTTAAAAGAGCAGTGCGTGACAGACAGCCCAGAAATCTCAAAGAACTGGAAGACTTTTGTAAGGAAGAATGGGCAAAGATACCTCAAACAAGAATTGAAAGACTCTTGGCTGGCTACAAAAAGCGTTTACAAGCTGTGATACTTGCCAAAGGGGGCAGTACAAGATATTAACTCTGCAGGGTGCCCAAACTTTTGAAGACGCCATTTTTTTTTTCTGTTATTTTGAAAGTGTAAATGATGGAAATAAAATCTAACTTTTGTTGACATGTTATAAGAATGTCTAATCTGTAATTTGATGCCTTTTGGAGATTTTTCCATCTTTCCTTGGCTTCTTTATGCACATTAATACAAATTTTTTAGCTGGGGTGCCCAAACTTTCGATCCCCACTGTATGTGATAAATCTTTGACATTTATTAATATTGCAACTTTTGAGTTGCTATGGTTTATATTTTATTTCTACTGTAGTACCAATCACCATTTTATTGTATGTTTTGTATGTGTGTTTTTTTTTCTCTGCCAGACAGGAAAAGGTGACAGTTTAATGTTTGATCTTGATACACTGTGCTATTCTCTTTCTAGTTGTCGAATTCACTATAAGGATATGTACAATTTATTACGTGTAATTGCCCCTCCACTGGGGCTGGGAAAGCGCTGCCCGTCGCGGGTAGCCTACAAGGTTTGCAATTCTGAAAGCCAGTTTGCATCCAAAAGGGAGCTTGGGGTGTCTAAAAAAAGATTTTCAGGGTGGCCTGCGCCAGCATGCCAACGCAAGGCCAGCAGTACTGCCCGCTGCCAACTTATCATGCTTTAACCCTGCCAAGAGGGGTTTCAGGTGGCCTCACTTGGAGGGGGCCATGAGCTGGGTCTAGGGTATCCATCTATAATATTTGTTACATTTTAGATTTATACATTAATGTTCTCCATGGTGAGGCTACCTGGACCCTCCTAACAAGCATGATGATAAGAAATTTCACCCAACCACTTCAATGCTGCAGGGGAATGTGATGCACCAGACATTGAAGGGTTGAAATTGGCACCCAATTTGTGTTATAAAAAACAAGGGGCATTGTTATGTCACCTTGAAATTGTGTGCCACACTCTCTGCTCAACACCGCCCACTGAATGTCAGTCTTTCAGTGAAATGGTTTGAACAGAAGGAAAACAAAGCCCCTTCCCTTCACCCATCTAACTAACCTCCGCCAAACCCTTAACAGTACAAAAAAAACATACCTGTGCTTGAGTGTCAGGGGTGTACAGTTTCATGCTAATCAGATATGTTTTTTTTTTTGTCTGTTTCCCTCCCATGTTGAACCCCATCCCTGGCTGCCATCTTCCCTTTCTTTTTGTCTGCGCTTTGCTTTCCATCCTGGTCTCATGGTTGTCTTGCAATTTTTTTAATTTTTGATAATTTTTCTCTTCTCACTTTTTCTTTCTCTCTTTTCTACTTCCATTCCTTTAATTTCTGCTATTATCACTTTTTTGTTTTCTTTGACTTGGGTCTCACTGGTTTCATCATGCCTCATTGGGTCCATCTCATGTGTCTTCTATTAAATCATGGCCTGAACACTTTTTTCTGTTGCCTAATCTTTCTGCATTATCACTTCTCTCCTATGTGCCAATCAATGGTCTTTTCTATGCTTGTCCATTATTTATGTTGCCCATATCTCTGGGTACTCTTCCTGTCTCCATGCCATCCTTGATGTTACTTGACATTTCGTCTCTTGTTGGATCCATGCGTGGTGTGCATCCTCCATCCTTGTACATCTGTCCTTTGCTACTGCACCTGTGTCGCCTCCTCTCCCATCGATGCAGTGGGCGCATTGGCTACACTGATATGTACGAGATGCTACGACATATGCCCCCTCCCCTTGGCCTGGGGAAGAAATGCCCTGCACGTGTGGCATATAAGGTAGAAGAGATGTCACCCTTCTCCTCTTCTGTGCCAGTGATTCGCTGGTCTGTGTACTTGTGGCCGTGCTGTGTATCTATCCTTGTACTCTGTACATCCCCTTCCTATTTCTCTATCCGGTGGTCTGTGTACAGCTGCTGGCTATGCTAGCTAACCAGGACCCTCTACACAGCTGTTCAATCTCACAGGGCATCTGAGTTTGGATGCAAAATTTAGTTATAAACCCAGCTCTTGAGAAAAGTTTTTACCCTTTTCACAATACTATTACCTGTCTTACCACCATTATCCTAGGTTCTTCTGTATATTCTGATAGTCCTCTAAAATGGCACATGACTTGCATGCTGTCATTTGCATACCCTATTGCATGAATTTTGGATGCATGTCTTCTGTACATGATGGAGTTGCTTGCCTAATAGACCTTACTTTGACTGTCGTCAGCCTCAGATTACTAAAGAGGTACAAGTGTATTTTTTTTTAAAATTTGCCAGTAAGCCCCTAACAGATTCCAAGACAGATCAAGGTGACCTTTAATTTGATCACTTTTTGTAACAGCTAAAATGAAAAATTCCACTTCTAGCCAACCCCAAAAAAAGTTACCCATACCTAGGAAGGTAGTTCTCATTTTAGCACAGCACCATATCCAATGGTGATCCAACAACGAAGAGGGGCCTTCTCAGCCTCTCAGGGACAGCCCTCATTCTTAAATTTAAATAGTATACCAATTTACATTTAGCCATATTAAACAGTATTGCCTATGCAAACTGCCATGCAGTGTATTCTAAATCCATTTCTATATATAAAACAAAAATGATGTGCCTCCACAGTGTTACATTAGACTACTTTTGCAGGATGCACAGAGTGATGTATGAGTTATATATGGCCCACCAGCTTTTTCTCCTTTGCAGAATGGGGAGTAACCATGCAGTTGTTTGGCATATGTGTGATAGATGTTTTGTCATGGCTTGTAAATGGCTTTTTTCTGGTGGGTTGTAAATTGGTAAAGGGAGGTTCTTGAGTCATTTAAAAGAACTCCTTAGTCACCTGAGGCTGACAGTCTTATTATCAATACATTTTCCTTGACTTTTCCCCATGGCCTTGATCTTTGGTTACCCAGTTTCCTGAACACCCTTTATATTACAGAGAACTCATTAAGGAGATTCTTCAGTTAGAGTCAGAATGCACTTGTCTTCTAAGCTTGGTTGTCTCCTAAAAGACATCTCTTGATAAGTCATTATGACATACCTGACAATGCTATTTGTGTCTGTGCTGCTTCATTGTATTAAAAGGAGCTTATGCAATTACACTCCTGAGACATTTCACAAGTGTTTTAAGAGGCAGCTTAGTTAAAACGTAGGACAGATGGTGATCCCATCACTTTGCAGACAATGTGAACAAATTATTTCTGAAATCTAAAGACTGGGGAAGAGTCAAATTTGGAGCCAGTGGTTGCTGTACTGGCATTCCTCTTTCTTCTGATATTCTTACAAATGGATTCTGTAACATATGTTTACTGTGCAAGGTATGCGTCCAGTCTGTGACACTCAGCTACTCGAGTCTTAACGTAAATTTTTTTTTTAATCCACTAAAGTAACTTATATTCCTCAAAATTAATTGTAGATCTTCTGATTGGAGAAATTGCATATATTTAAAGAAGAACTCTGGGATAGATAAAAAAAAAAACATTAGTACACTCACCTACACAAAACATTAAACAGTTAATACATTTGTGAAATTCCTTACCGTTGAAGAGAAATATCTAATGAATTTTCAGGAAGTCTTCAATGTATTTCAAAAGATAACCGCATCTGGTCTTCCAAGGAGGAGGTGTAACAGCAGGGATTACATCATATCCTCTCCCTCTACAGTAAAAGGAAACTAAAGTCCCCATCAACCCCTGGGAATTGCATTGAATGTGGGCGGGTACACTAGGCCTGTACATGCTGAAAGTATACTCGCCCACTTCAATATAAATCATGCCCCTCATTCATCAGCTAAAATGCTCAGCACCACACAGAAAGACGGGTGGCAATCTTATATGGGTAAAGCATGCATGTGCAAAATGTTTAATTAATTATATTTAGGCTTTAATTAAATATTGAATTCCTCCTCTAGGTTTTCTGTTACTGGCTATGGCTGCTATCCTCACATGCAATCTCTCCCATTCCATCCACATCAGGAGATAAACTAATTGATCAGATCTGTTCTAATGTAATGTGTCATGCCTTTCTTTAAAAAAAGCACTCCTGATTGTTACAAAAATCCCCAAAAACTAATTGATCAGAGACTGTAGCAATACTACAGGAGATGACTTAAAACATATCCCATAGGGTCACAGATTAGAACACATTTAAAGTACAGCAATGAAGGTGTTGAACCTCTGACAATGTTTTTATGGCTGTTCCTGTGCCAGGGCCAGGAATTGAGGGGAAGTCTCCCTCCAATGGGGTCACAGCAACAGGAAGTCTTGCTTCAGTGGGGTCACAGAAACAGGCAGTCACCCTCCAGTGGAGTCACAGAAACAGGAAGTCTCCCTCCAGTTGGGTCACAAAAAAAACAGGCAGTCTCCCTTCAGTGGGGTCACAAGGACAGGAAGTGTTGGGATGACTCCTTCCATTTGTGTCACAGAAACACAAAGCAAGGGGAAGACTTCCCCCAGGGGTATCATATGAAACAGAAAGTCTCCCTCCAGTGGACAAAATGTCTCCCTCCAGTGGGGTGAGAGAAACAAGAAGTCGCTCGTCCAGTGGGGTCACAGAAACAGGAAGTCTTTCTTCAGTGGGGTCACAGAAACAGGAAGTCTCCCTCCAGGGGGTCCCAGACATAGGAAGTCTCGCTCCTGTGGCATCACAGAAATTGAAAGTCTCCCTACAGTAAGGTCACAGGGTCAGGAAGTGAGGGGAAGTCTCCCTCCAGTGGGGGGGTCACAGACACAGGACATATCCCTCCAATGGGGTCACAGAAACAGGACGTATCCCTCCAATGGGGTCACAAACACAGAAAGCCTCCCTCCAGTGGGGTCACAGGGTCTGGACGTGAGGGGATGTCTCTTTCTGGTGTTCTAAGTTCCAGCAGTTGAGATAACTAAACATTGTTTAGCATGGGTTGGCATGTATGATGCCACAGTAAAAAATTACAGGGCCAGCTTGACTTAGTTCTACAGTAGCTGGAGAGGCAGCGGTTCTACGCTACATCACCTATACATTTTAAAACCGTTGTTCTCAACATTTTACCCCACAGGAACCTCTAAAATAATTTTCAGGTCTCAGGGTAACCCTTACTACAGGGGTGTCAAACTGGCGGCCCTCCAGCTGTTGCGAAACTACAAGTCCTATCATGCCTCTGTCTTTGGGAGTCATGCTTGTAACTGTTAATCTTGCAATGCCTCATCGGACTTGTAGTTTGGCAACAGCTGGAGGGCCGTCAGTTTGACACCTGTGCCTTACTAAAAATCAATTAATTGTAAGTCAGTGAGAAAAATGTCCACCTTATGGCAGTGGTCAGTAATAACAATGTCCCCCTAATGTTGATAGCCAATAAAAGGAATGCCTCCCTTATGTCGGTGACCAGTAAAAAGGTAGTATACTTATGTCGGTAGTATGTGGGAAGAATGCCCCTCTTACATCAGTGGTCAGTAGGAGGAATGTCCCCTTATGTCAGAGGTCAGTGGGAAAAATGTTCTTGTTCACCACCACTGCACCCTCCCTGCACACATATCCCACTACCACTGACCACTTGTTTTGCTACCACTACATTATCAAAATACATATTCCACCCCCGTTCCCCCTCTGCACGCACGTCCCACCCCCGTTCCCCCTCTGCACGCACGTCCCACCCCCGTTCCCCCTCTGCACGCACGTCCCACCCCCGTTCCCCCTCTGCACGCACGTCCCACCCCCGTACCCCCTCTGCACGCACGTTCCACCCCCGTACCTCCTCTGCACGCACGTTCCACCCCCGTACCTCCTCTGCACGCACGTTCCAGCCCCGTACCTCCTCTGCACGCACGTTCCACCCCCGTACCTCCTCTGCACACACGTTCCACCCCCGTACCTCCTCTGCACGCACGTTCCACCCCCCTACCTCCTCTGCACGCACGTTCCATCCCCGTACCTCCTCTGCACGCACGTTCCATCCCCGTACCCCTCTCTGCACACATATTCTATCGCCCTATTGCTGCCAGAGAGAGAGCTGAGCCTGTCGCTGACAGTTAACCATTCTATTGCCAGAAAGTTAAGTTAATCAGTGGGTAGCAGTAAAATGTAAAGGTGTCTGGCAACTTAGGGGTTAACTGTTAGCCACAGGCTCAGCTCCCTCCACAGCAGCTATGGGACCACGTCTGTGTAGCAGCTCAGCTCCCTCCCCTGTTCTCCTCTGCTTATACAGAGTGGCCGTAAAAAAGAGCCCTTCTCTCTCCCTGTGTGTCCCAGGGATCAGCACAGGTAATGACTGATATCAGTGTCTTCTGAAACCCCAGTGAAATGATTTACCCCAGCCTGCCTATGTTGTTGTCGTCAGGCATGTATAGAGTTGAATGTTGTCAGCTCCAGGATGGCTGACAGCTGTTACTATTGGATGGGAGAAGGGGCACACTGCCTCTATGGGCAATTCAGACTGGAGACCCAGACTGGTCTGCCCACTACAGCCAGCAGGAAATACATTACTGATCACTGACATGAGACCTACAGGAGGGATGTGCGAAGACCGGAGGCTGGGGGGAATGCAAGGCATAGCAGCCACAGGTCTTACAAACAGGAAGACACAGGGAATTAACCCCATGATTTAAAAAATGCACATTCTGTTTCTCAGAAACTACAGAGTCAACCAGAAGACGGACTAATATTATTATACAGGACTTATATAGCACCAACAGTTTGCGCAGCACTTTACAAAATGAAAGTAGACATTACAGTTAGAGCTTACAACTTAAGAGGAAGGGTTGAGTGATACAAAAGTTATTCGCTCTGGAAGCTGAACTGATGGAGGAAGTAAAAAGCAGTTTACTAGTTAGAAGCAGGATAGGCTGCTTTAAAGAGAAGGGTTTTCAGGGATCGTCTAAAGGTGGGTAGATTAGGAGATAGTCGGACAGATTGGGGTAGAGAGTTCCACAGGATGGGAGAAGCTTGGGAGAAGTCATGGACACGAGCATGGGAGGAGGTGACATGGGAACTAGAGAGCAGGAGGTCTTGGGAGGATTGAAGAGAGCGGCTTGGTTGATATTTTTAGACCAGGTTGGTGATGTAGCTGGGGGCAGAGTTGTGGATGGCTTTGTAAGTTGTTGTTAGTATTTTGAATTGTATTCGTTGGGCGAGTGGAAGCCAGTGGAGGGATTGGCAGAGAGGGGTAGCAGACACTAAATGGTTGGTAAGGTGGATGAGCCTGGCAGCAGCATTCATGATGGACTGGAGTCAGGATAGCCTATGTAAAGGTAAGCCAATGAGGAGGGAGTTGCAGTAGTCGACGTGAGAGGTAACCAGGGAGTGAATTAGAAGCTTTGTGATATCTTTGGTTAAAAAGGGGCATATTCTGGAGATGTTGGAGGTTGAGGCGGCATGATTTGGACGGGGATTGGATGTGGGCCTGAAAGGATGGTTCAGAATCCAGGGTCACCCCTAGCACCATGGCATGCGGGGATGGGGTGATAGTTGTGCTAATGACCTTCACCGAGAAATCAGGGGAAGAGACACGTGGGGGAGGAAATATTATGAGCTCAGTTTTGGATAGATTGAGTTTTAGGAAGTGGTGTGACATCCAGTCTGATATGTCTGTTAGTAAATCAGTGATATGTGAGGAAACTGATGGGGTGAGCTGAGGAGTAGAGAGATAGATTTGTGTGTCATCAGCATAGAAATGGTATTGGAAACCATGGGAAGCCAGCAGCTGACCCAGGGACTACATATTCTAGAAAGGTAGAAAAGAAGCAATAAAACCATGTAAAGAAGTTTTGGCCTGGACTTCTGCTTTAAAGGGAATTTATAGTTCAACATTTCACCAGGAGAGAAGCGTACACATTTTGCTTGTTTTTTTTCCATATTGCTTTCAAGGAATCATTATAGGTCTGATCTACAGGGTTAGGACCAGCAAAGGGCAATGACTTGGCTGAGCAGGAAACACAGCAGCCACAGTGTATGTAGTGAGAACATACAGATGCCACTCAAGGTGCATATGTAGTAGAATCAGGTTTTCAAAGGATTACATACACAAAATTAAATAAAACTATTTACATTAATTTTACTGATTAATAATAAATATACACCTTAAACATGAACAATTACACTATATAGTTTTCCTTTAAAGGGGAAACACATTATTAGAATGTCACTTTGAGACACAGTACCACCTAAAAAGTACTCATAGTGTGTTCCTTTGTAGATAAATATTTACTATTTATTCCATAAAGTTTGAATGTTTTCCCTCTCAGCATGGGAATATCATTGTTCTGTTCAATAATTAATTGAAGGGAAATAAAGTATTGGTGTAATGCGACTGGTTGAGATGTAGCAGACTGGCCCTCCTTGAACAGTGGTTGTGTAATAAACTGATGATGGCCTTGGCTACCATGACTGTTTGGCTTTTTCTGCAGCGTCTGGTAAAGATGAACATGCCAATCTCTGACACTGACCTTACCGTCCACTTCACATCCACACTGATGGCATTAATTCGGACAGCACTGGACATTAAATTAGCTTCAGGTGGGTTGCTTTAGGCATTTTCTGCCAATGTTAATACTTCTTTCAATTTAATGTTTGTATTTGACAGGTATTTTCTGCACAATCTGTTGCTAACACAGTGCAATTTCCTCTTGCTGGTTTTAAAGCCACTTAGACCTCAAGGTAAAGAAGAACTCTGAGAATGCTATAGGATTCATGAACTTAGGAGCCTATAGAACATACTTCTGTCTGAGAAGGACATCTAGGCTTAGTGCTTGTAGACTTTAAAGCCCAAGTTGCAACCAAAACATTAATAAAGAGTAACTCCACTATTGTTAAGAGAAAAATATAATCCCCTTTGTGTGATGTACATTACATTGCAATGTACATTGCAGGGGTTTTAACAAAAAAACATTTTTAAATGAAATCCTACCTACTGCTCTGATTTAGCCTCTTCCCCTCCAGCCCATGTTGATAAACGGCCGGAAGGGAGCGCTGCGATGAGGGAGGATGTTTCTAAACATCCCCCCGCATCCATTGCCTGTGCACACTCCCTGGAACACAGATCCTGTATGGGACCTCTGTGTGAGGTCCCGATTCATGTGATCACTGATTAGCCAATCAGTGATCACATGAACAGTAGTAAGCAAGATGTCACTTTCTGACATTTCTTACTGTGACAGAACGCGGTGTCCAACCCCAGCCCTTCTCACACACGCTGTCACTTGCGTAACAATGCTACTCTCAGCTGCACCCTGCACAAAGATTTTGCAGCTTGCGGGACTACAATCTGTGTGCCAGCAGCCTGAGAGCGATTGTACTGGGTCAGGTTAATTACGCAATTAACCATTTACACTGCCACCACCACTTTTTTTACAGAGAAGGAGGAAACTCACAAATCTTCGCAGTAACACTATGATATTAGTATAAGCGTCTGTAATACACACTGTCACCACAGAAAGATATATTCAGAGGATTATTACCTACAGTAGCACTCTTCTAGAGACAGGGATTCTTTAGTTTGCATTAAAAGCTTTAGAGACAGTTTCAACACTTTTCAAAAAATAGGATTTATTACTAAAAAGGTCAAAATGGTGCAATTAAAATATTTACAGAAAAAGATGTAACAAAGATATAAAAAGAACAATAAAACAACAGAGAAATAAAAGAAAGGAGTTCAGAAGGATGAATACTTGCAAAAGTCCTTGGTTTGAGCAGAGTACAATTGTCCGAACAAAAAGATTGCCTTGGCTCTCAAGTCTCTTAGATGGTTCCTGATTGATGTTAAATGAGAGCTGTCTTTTCTCCAGCCCGTCAGTCTTTTTCTATCATATCAAAGGGGTGTCTCCTGAGAACAAAAATGACCAATCATCCAGTTTGGGGATGGGTGTTAGGCGGTAACCAAGGTCATGACCAAATCCCTTACAATTTCATACTAAGGTCAATAACCTTCAATAGGTACAGGTAGCATCCTAGCAACTGGCAGATTAATATTTAGAATTATATTCCAAATGCAAAGATACCAAACATAGCATACTCTTGTCACTCAGGTTAAAAGATAGTGCTTCTTCTCTCTTGTAGGTACTAATATAGTGATGTAAGGTCTTGTGTGACTCATATTAAAATGATCTATCCAAATATATACTTCATACTAATGTGCCCAGTTCCTGCTGAAGTTTATGAATTGTATGAAAAAATGACTCATGTGGAATGTACTTTTTATGGCACGCTCTAGCCCTAATGGCCTAACAGGTCATGACTGACTGAGTTATTGTTTTACGATCAGGCAGAGGAAAGTGGTTTTCAAGCAGACCCCCTGGAACCAGACTAATTAGCGGTTTACAGCCCTAAAGCTTATCTATATTTGTTTTATTTAGGATAAGAGATCCTCTTGACCTCCATTCAACTTATATATATGAATTCCATTGAAAAGGGAGGAGGGAGGACAGGAGAGAACATGGCTGAGACCTAACAAGATGGCTGTCATGTACAGCTTCCATGCCTCTATTGTGCACAATCATCACACTTATTACTTGTGAAATCAGAGGTCACATGGTACAAGGCTATTCACAACAGCCTTGTTCCATGTGACAAGCTGTGACCAATCACAGCTCGCACAGTATTTCTCAATGGCTGCAGGAATGCAGCCGAGAGAAGGAGAAATTATTGCTTTTACAGCCTTTATGGGTGTAAAAGCAATTAGTGTAAAAAAAGAAAAAAAAATCTTCATCACTATGGTGACACTGTACTGCTAGAGTGACAGTATGTTAAAAAAAAAAACCCCAAAACACCATTAATATAAAAAAAAAAGTAAAAAAAAATTTTGAAAAATTATAATTTTTGGTTATAAACTGAATTTGGGTTATTTTATTGTTTACTCAAAAGATAGATGAATAAATTTTGGCCAAGATTTATGAGGAAAGATTATTTATTTGCAAACTTTTATAAGAAAAACAAACACTTTTTTCAAAATGTTTGGACTTTCATTTATATAGCAAAAAAAAAATAAAAATCCCAGTGGTAAATAAATACCACCAAAATAAAGTTTTGTCTGTCTCAAAAAAATGCTAAAATATTCATATGTGTACAGGGTTGCATGACCGCGCAATTGTCATTCAAAGTGTGATAACGCTGAAAGCTGAAAATTGGCCTGGAAGGGGGTAAAAGTGTCCGGACATGAAGTGGTTAAAAGCTGTTTGTTGTGTGCAGAGTGAATCTGAATAGGAGCGACTTTTTCATTTTTAATCAGCTGATGCACTTGCAGTCTTCTAATGAGGAAAATTGCAATGTCTGCATCACTTTAGAAGTGATTAAAGTGGAAGTAAACTCCCACTGGGCACATGTACCTACAGGTGAGCTTATAATAAAGCTTATCTGTAGGTACAAAGAATATCTCCTAAACATGCACCGTTTAGGTGCTATTCAGTGTCCCTGCACCCGATGATGTCATAATGTGCTAGTATTCATCGCAGAGCGAGTGACATTTTGCAGGGGACACTTTTTCCGGTTTACTACCACTTTAACCCTATGGGAGTATCTAAAAAAAACTTTTTTTTTTTTGCAGGGGATGCCTAAAATCTGACTTGTATCTTTCTGCAGACCTGTGGAATAATCAATGAGCCATTTACACAGCAGGAAATTATATTTCTGGGGGTCTTCCGTAAACCATTGGTTTATGGAACGCCTTCATGTTGTCACATTTCATTGAATTTTACTGAAAATTACAGGGCAGCAGAATGAAAAGAAAAGGCAATTTCAATTACAATATGGCTAGTGTAGCAATTGTATGTGATATACTGTTTTTTTTATTTGCTATATTTTTCCCCTGAAAGTGGAGTTGCTCTTTAAATATTTTGGATATACAGTAGCTAGAAAATGTTGGAAACTCTGTCAAATAATTATTGTGTCCCCATTTCGGAGACTTTCCCTCATGTCCTAAGTGAACAATATCAGACAAAAGTGAGAGAAAATATGCACTTTAATATGTGGCAAAGGGTTCAACTCTTCATTACTCATTTATTTAAACAAAAAAAAAAAATATGATGGTTCCTCATATTGATCTGGTAGTAGTTTGTATGCTCATCCATTCTAAATACACCTGTCGTGAGAGAAATATAGGGGGTACCACTGCTGGACTCCTTTCAAAAGTGCTAGAGAAATTGAACACTACATTTTATGTTGTACAAATCCTCCAAGGACTGGCTGCACTCTGGTAGGTGTAGCCTCAGAGACCTGCTATTAGATTCAAAACTGAGATCCTGGTCCATGTTTGGGAGGCACCTTCCCCGCCTCAGTGATTAGTTAAGTTCAAAGACAACCAATGCGTTTCGGGGGTCAAAGGAACTAGTCCTTCATCAGGGCTACAATAAAACATAATGTAAAAAGAAATGTGACCGATAACATCATGAGCCTAACAATTGTAAAACATCATGGATATGCAAATGCATGCATCCAAAAATGCTTGCATATTCACAAACGTATGCAATGAAATAAAAATGAAGAGATGAGGGAATATCAGATTATGTGATAAGGTGCAATGAATTCATTTTCAAAATTATTGCTATCGATTCTACATGGCAAGTAAATGCCATTGCACAATTAAATTTATAATTGAAACAATACACATGGAAAAAACATGGGGAAAAAAAAATTCAATATAATAAATAATACATAATCTTATATTACATATATTATTAAAGTGTTACTAAACCCACAACAGTAAAATCAGTCTGTATATGCAGTAAGGCATGCTTGTTATACTCACTGTGGAACCTAAGGGTTAATCCTCTGCGTTGTGTAAAATGGCCGTTTGATCCTGTCTTCTCTGTCCCTCCTCTTGTTCGAATGTCTGTGCAGATAAGACAGATTGAATCCGTAGCCCTTCTGCATATGCTCAGTTTGCTATGTTTTACTAGAGAGATTTTTTTTTTTTTCTTGGGAGAGAGCACAGAGCCAATCAGCACTGTCCAGACAGAGGTCAGGGGTTTTGCATCATCCTAGAGCAGAAAGAAAACTCCTTCTACAAGCTTTAACCAGTGCTCTGCTGAAGTCAGAAGACTGCTCTTACTGCTGATGAGAAAAGGCATTTAACAGTTTATATTTACTACAATAATTGCACTTCCATGTTCTTTGAACTGTGGGAGTCCAGATAGAGTGAATGCTGGCTCCTGGGCTTAGGAACACTTTAATCTTATAAATAAAAAAACAGAGACAATGAAGGTATTGTTATAAGTGCTGACAAAGGAGGTGGCATGGTGATTCAGGACAGGATAGACTATATTAATTAGGCAAAAAGAATTTCAGATAAGATCTTCTAAACAACACTGGAAGCAGACCCAACAGAAGATTTCATTGGTTTTATTGAGGATGCCTTCCTAGAAGTGAGGAATATCTGTTTTTTTCCATCATCAAAAAATTCTTCTAATTCTTCCCTTCATCACAAAAAATTAGAAGAAATTTTTGATGATAAAAAAAACAGATATTCCTCACTTTTACCATCTGCCAAAGATCCACAAATCTCTGTTCCAATCACTGGGCCGGCCAATAATTTCAGGTATTTATTCTCTCAACAATATATTGATCATTTGCAACGTTTTGTCAGAAATCTTCCATCGTATGTAAAAGACATCTCTGACCTTTTGAATCATATAATTCCCATCCCATGGACTAGCATTTACCATTGGCTCACGTTAGACGTGTCTTCCCTTTATTCTAATACACCCGGTAAACATTTAGAAACTTCTACCTAGACGCAGATCCGCTCATGCCAAAGAAACAAGTTAATTTTTTTTTATTACAAGCAGAATACAGAATTTATCCTGTCAATTATTCTTCATTATTGGATATTTTCTATCTCCAGACCATGTGAACTCCGTTTGCTCCCAGTTTTGCAAGTTTATATATGCTGTAGGTCATTTTGAAGAGATATCTCTTCCTTTATGAATCCTTTTCTCCACAATATTATACTGTACAAGAGATATATTGATGATTTAATCTTCATCTGGGAAAGTGAGCCCTCAATCGCCCTTTTTGTCCAATATCTAAATGACAACACTTTTGGACTTTAATTTATTAGCCACACTCATCTTACATCTATGCAATATCTGGATGTAATTCTGATCAATCAAGATGGAAGAATCACCACTTAAAATTCAAATAACTGTTGCTGTCAACACTCTTAAAAAAGGTTTAACAGTTGCCATTACAAACCTTGGCCAAGGAACATACCTTTTAGCCAATTTAAGAGGTCTCAGAAGAAATTGTACTTCAGACTCTATGAACCAAGTCAAAACTTTTAAAGGGCGTTTCCTTCAAAGGCATCATCCAAAAGATCTAATAGATGAGGCTTTAAAAAGGGCTGGTGCTTTGACATAAGATAATTGTCTCCAAAAAACCCAGGGGAATGTGGATAATAAATATACCCAAGCTCCCAGTTTCAATACTAGATACAAAAAAGATAAGAAAATGATAAGAAACATCCTTTACAAACACTGGCATATATTGATCTCAGATCCCTTGTTGAAGAAGGATCTCTCATCTAACCCAAGATTGAGCTTCCGCAGAGCATCAACTTCGAAAAATACACAAGGGCCCTGTAGATTAAAATACCTAGGGGGTCATTAGCTTTTTGCCCCAGTATCGTCCATATCTGGCTGTTTAAATGTCTTCGATATCTTAGCTGTCAAGCTTTGGGACCCATGACCCATATTTTCAACAAAAATACACATTCAAATCATTAGTGGGTACAAACGCCATGTAACTTACAAAATTCCCTGCTAAATCTAAAAGATAAAACTGAATTACGTTAATAAATATATTTTATTTATATATTCATCTGTGTGTGAATGAGGTCTCCGGGTTCATTCACATGGGTGCTGTGGCCTATATAGCGTGAATAAGTGTTTTTTTTTATATATGTCGCTGGAGCGGTGTGTAGGCAGCTTATGTCATGCTATGGGGAAACAGCAGTTGTACGAACACAACCGCAGGTCCTAATTTGACAGGTGTGTTTGTATAACCGTTCAGTTCCCATGGAGTAACACGCGGCCCCAGCCACACAAACTGCTCATTCACACTGTGTGGGTCAGAGAACCCATATGAAGAAGCCTTTAATTATGTTTTTGTTTATTTTTATTATTTAACATTTTTCTCTTTATTATATTTTTACATTTTTTAAACAGCCCTGTTAAAGAGCTTTGGTGGAATATCAGGAGTCTAAACAGACCCCTGATTTCTCACTTTTGAGACAGAGAAAGTGATTGAGGTCACAGTCCTCAGTCTATCTCTGCAGCCTCAGATGTAGAATGAAGGAACAGGAAGAGCTCTGCACAGTCTTCCTGTTCATTCACAAACTAAATCAGAAAACACAGTTTATTATGCTTCAGTTATGAATGAACACAGTGAGTGATTGGTACCGATCACTGCGTTCATTCAGAAAAGAAAGGGGCCAGTAAATGACATTTACCAGCCCCTTCCTCTGCTCTCTTAATCCTGACACTGACCCCTTGCAGCAGCCAGTGGTAGGGAGAGGATGGGAAACAAGCAGCACTGCAAGGGGAGTACCTGGAGATGAGGCATGGCATTTACTGAAATTATTCTCCTGTAGTTCCCCCCTGCAGCAACTGAAAGCCGGAAGTAGAGAGAGTAGGAAATGCCGTCTTTCAGCTGCTGCAGAGGGAAACTAAATCATTGTTTAAAAAAGACTAAGGGTTCATGTACACTGCAGCTGATAAACTCACGTTCAGGAGCTTTTCTCCTTTTTTTTTTTAGCAGCCTCTGAATTCTCCCTAATGTTTTTCCTATGTGTCCATGTACACTATATCGTTACAGGCGTTTACAGGCAGTTGAGTTTACAGTCTTTTTTTGAACGTACCAAACTTGCGTTCAGGAGTAGATTTTATCAGCGTTTTCAAACGCCAAACGCGTGTAAACGTGTTTAGAAGCGTTTTTTTAATTGTTCCATATCCAGATGCTGTCCAGAGCCTTTTTTCAGTTTTACGTGAAGGAAAAATGGTAGAACGTGCCGCATTATACTCATGATGGGATCCATAGTGAATACAACCAGAAAAGACAGGTAATCTCAACACATACTGCTCTCTCTGCTTCTGCTCTCTCTATTTCTCTCAAAATGTCTGAAATAGTTAATTTTTTACTGTTTTTCAGTGCATTCTGGGCATTTTGGAAGGTCTCCTGAGGTTATCTTTAAAAAATGCTTCTAAATGCAAACACACATAAACGCGGTATGCAAACGCGGTTAAACAGAAGTTTTGTAACCCACGGTTTCCAGCAGTCAGTTTCCATCGTTCAGAAGTGTTTTTCAAACATCCCGTGTACATGGAGCCTAAGGCTACATTCACACCAAGAAAGAATTAAAGACCTTCTCTTACTGAACAACAGATATTACTGAATGTCCGGAAATGTAAATTTCACTGGGAAAAGTCCAATAGTTTTGCTTTACCAATCGGGTGAATGTTGCCCAAAGAATTTTGGGTGAATTTGCCATCATATCTTTTATAAATACACTCCTAATTACACAAAAGTCTGTACATGTCAATTCAGTATCACACATATAGACAAAAGCTGGCACCAATTCAACAAATCCCTAGATGAAATGTGAAAGTGAAAAGTGGAAATTAAATTTTTTTTTTTTTTACATATTGACTGTGCCATATGTTTCCTAATCCTTTTTTCTTACAGATATGTAGGTTATATGTAAGAGCATCAGTGACAGAACAGACTAAATTGTCTTTACAGGTGGAATAAAGCAGCATGAATGTGATGCAGAGTTACGGAAAGAGATCTCCTCAGTGTGGCCCAACCTGTCTCAGAAAACATTAGATTTACTTGTCCCCCCTCATAAACGTAAGAAGCTACTTTTATTTTCCACCCCAAACATTTTATTGATTTTCTGTTATTCTTAAAGTACTGTAGACTTAATGAGCTTTTCTTTTTCACAGTCATAAGGATGGTAAAGTATGTGTAAACCCTAACAAAGAAACGTCTCTTCTCTTTGTTGCTTTTTTTTGTCTATTAAATATACCTTTTAAAGCGTTTTGTTATATCTGTTCAGTAAGAAAAAAAGTATCTGCTGATCCTGCTAGAAATCCAGTGCTCTCTGCCACTATTGCACTAAACCTTCAAGCAATTTAATCAGTCCTGTCCACCTCTGTGGACTACAGAACACTACCTCATATTATGAAGAGAGGAAAGAGTTCTGCAGTTAAAAGCAGGAGTGAGCAGGCTAGGGTGACAACATATCTTCCATATAATATATATATATATATTTATTATATATAATATAATGAGTGTTGTCACCCTAGCACAGGGAACAACTAGCAGAAATCACCAAGGAAACAAAGCAAAACATTAAAAAAAAAAAAAAAAAGAAAAAAAGAAAATGCAGCCACCATATCAAAGGACCAGTAAATATGTAATACAATATATAAAACACATGTTCTTTGGTCTGGATAAACTTCACATACCTTTTTGTCCTGTAGTTTTTCTAGTTCTAAACCTATCCTGTGCCTGTTATGGGATTAGGAAAATGGTAATGGTTTCATGGTCTCTATCAAGGGGTTTGAAACATTGCCATTCAGGCACAGTCAGTCGAACAAAAGCCCTCCCTGACCTTTGATCCACCCCTTTAAGAGATACCATGAGACTGATCCTGGGAGGTTTCAGACCTAAAGGGAATGTATAGGTCTTTTTGGCAAACACAGATTTGGAGTAATTAATGCAGTGTTTACTTTCAAGTAACTTATTTCCCCATTCACAGGGGAACTTTGTAAATAAGAGACTTTGGGGTTAAGCTATCACCCACAGGAGGATTTGGACACCAGAAAATGAAAAAATAGTGGCCAGCACATTATTATTATTATTCAGGATTTATATAGTGCCAACAGTTTGCTCAGCGCTTTACAATATAAAAGGGAGACAATACAGCAACAATACAGTTCAATACAAGAGGGATAGGAGGGCCCTGCTCCTTGGAGCTTACAGTATAACTTCTTCTCCCAGTATGCCTCAGTTTTTTGCTAGTGTCCTAGAATAAGGGACACCCTTTCTCTGCTTTGCTGAGAAAAGTCTTATCTTTTTGCTAGCTAATTTTTCGTAGCTAGCGCTTTCCAGACCTAGGAGTACAATTAGCTGGCTGTGGATCACTTTCTGGGTCCAGAGCCATAGCATAGCCACAAGTGTTAACCTATGTTTTAAGACTCATTTTGTGATTAGGACTTGTGGATGAGTAATGGGAAACTACCTTGTTACAAAGGCTGCTGGGCACCATTTAAAGTCTCTGCTGTTTGCCGGTTTACCACGAAAGGGGTTAATGCTGAGCGAATGAGTACTGATGTCATCCACTACCTACCTAAAATCGCAGGCTATCCCCTCTTCAGTCTATCATGAATGCTGCTGCCAGACTTATCCACCTTACTAACCGTTCTGTATCTGCCACCCCTCTCTGCCAATCCCTCCACTGGCTTCCCATTGGCCAACGGATAAAATTCAAAACATTAACAATAACGTATAAAGCCATTTATAACTCTGCCCCAAATTACATCACCGAACTTTTCTCTAAATATCACCCAAACCGTACTCTCTGCTCCTCGCAAGACCTCCTACTCCCATGCTCGTCTCCAGGACTTCTCCAGTGCTTCCCCCCATCCTCTGGAACTCTGTACCCCAATTTATCAGACTAATCGCCTACTCTGCTCACTTTTAGGAGATCTCTGAAAACCTCTCTTCAGGGTAGCCTATCCTACCCTCAGCTAATAATGGAATCTTCTACTCTTCCAACCAGTCCATCCCCCACAGTTACTACCTTTTGTACCACTAGCCCCTCCCTCCTAGATTGTAAGCTCCAAGGAGCAGGGCCCTCCTATCCCTCTTGTATTGAACTGTATTGTTGCTGTATTGTCTCCCGTTATATTGTAAAGCGCTGAGCAAACTGTTGGCGCTATATAAATCCTGTATTATAATAATAATCCACTAGGTGGAGTATTGCATGCACATGCTCAAAGCTCCTTCTCCCATCATTCACTATTGAGGAAGCACCTTTCTGCTACTGCTACTGACTGCAGGTGACACAGGGATTTACCCTTAATTTGTCTCTTCTACCCACCTACAGTGACCTGGCCACATCTAGTCAGCTGAACCTTTCATGCTACCAGCAGCTGTTTCTGAACTTTTAAAGCTTGGCCTTGTACCCTAAACTATGTTACCCCTGCCTTATGGTGCAGCATGTCAGATCCCAGACACATGGAGACCGGTTCCTTCTGCCCCTGTTACCAGAGACCTGTTACCCCAGCTCACAATCCATTAACAGTTCCAGTGCTCTCTGCACTGCACCCTTTTAAAGGACGTGACACTGAGACTAGAATTTTGCCCTCTGGTTAAGTCTGTGCCATCCTCAGAGTCGTTCTTAACTCCGCTGGCCATGGACCCCTCCTTTTACTGCTGATACATACAACCTCAATTCTGAAAAAGTTGAGACGATATGTAAAATCTACATAAAAACAGAATGCAATGATTTGCAATTCTCATAAACCCATATTTTATTCACAATAGAAAACATAACAAATGTTTAAAATGAGAAAATGTGGCACTTTAAGAAAAAAACAAGGAAACTTTGACATTGATGGCAGCAACATGTGTCACAAAAGTGGCTTTGAGCCTGCAACAGTCTCCTAGACTGAGAAAATGAAGCAGATTCTGCTCCTAAATAACAAAAAGGAGTGCAAGCCCTTAAAGTGTAACTAAAGGCAAACCTTTTTTTGTTTGTTTTAGTTTTGGGCACAGTGGAGATGGATTAGAACACCTACTATATCAGGTTTTTATTGCTGTCTGTGCCCCTGTTAGAGAGCGTCAACCTTTCTATTTGTCCTGTTTACTATTATTGAAAGTGAAATTAAAGAAAATTAAATATTTTGGGCTGTCCGCTGTAGAAGATTTTCCTTCTTTTACTTTCCTTAGGACACTAGTTCTGGTGACCTCCCCGAAGGGATTCCCGTAATTTACAGAGATTTCTTCCCGCTTCCAGTGTTGGCTATGGGACTGAAAGTGAAGGAAAATATCTCCAATGGGACAAAGATGGAAAATAAAACTGACAGGGGTTATAACCCTCTCTTACTCCATGCAAAATAAAAATAAAAAGTTTTGCCTATTGTTCTACTTTAATTGAGAGCATTCTGCTCACTGACAGATACTCCACAGACCAGTTCGGCTGGATCTGCATACTCTGATCCTCCTCCCCTTCTTGCTCAGCTGAGTGCCGGAGGTGTTACCCCCGGTTCACATATATGCGGCTGTGCGGGCCGCATTTTGCGTGGGCACAAGAGCCCATTCATTTGAATGGACTCCCGTGCCCTGGGACACGCAGGGAAGAAGTACCTGCACATCTTTGGAAAACGCAGCCCGCACGGGAACCTCAGTTCCCAGTGTGGTTGTGATTTCCAGTGCAGGTGGCGTGCCATTAGAACTAATGGCACCTGCCCGTGGGTCCGCATTCTTCTGTGTGGATGGTGCGGCTGCATGGATTTTTGTGCGGATCCGCAGCGGCACCACCTGCACATATGTGAACCTAGCTTTAGGGTTGATAACTCTGCAAGCTTGGCTTATACAGTGTAATCACTATACACAGAGAGGAATGTGAGCAGTCTGCTGACAGTTCACATGCCACACACCAGGTCTGACCTGAAATGGATATGTGGCGGTTTTCCGTACTGAAAACTGCCATAATACTTTGTTTTCTTTTTTGTTATAATCAATATTTATTGAAGTTTTATACCAAACAGTAATTCAAAACACACAAAAAGCGTAAGAAAGGATCAACATTGCCAAATCAGTCTCGGCAAAAGATGGTACAGCATTAAGTACGGTTTGATACAGAAGATAAAGTTGCAGTACAGCAAAATGTATCTAAAGACCAGATAAAGTATATTAAAATGATACCTAAGACAAGGTCCAGCTAGCGAACAAGGGACATATGAGGTAAGGCGTATCATAAAAAGTCCAGGTATCATCAACCCATACATGACGTGCTGTACAGAGCCATATATATTAAGGGAGGAGAAAACAAAAAAAAAAAAAAGTAGATAAATATAGGAACAAAAATTACAAAAAAAAAAAAAAACTATGAGCATAATGGGGGTACACTTATTTACAAGCCATCTGAGACAACAATCCGTGAAAAAAGTTTATAGGTACAGGAGTAAGAAGCACCACAAATCATGCGGTTTCCAAAATATTATAACTATGATTGTATGCAATCATACTTATAATAATAATATATAATATTATATATTATAATATAATAGGGGAAAAGAATATAAAATCCTTTAAATAAATAAGAAAGGACAGGCAAAAACATACAGACAGAAAATTCAAAGATGGATATACTTATCCTGTCATACTGTAAAACCAGAGGACATTGGTGTGACATTAGATTTACTTTGGTATTTTATTATCACAGCGGATGAAATGACTGTTGGGAAAGTTTACGCAGCTCTTATGATCTTTGACTTCTACAAGCAGAACAAAAACAACCGGGACCAATCTCACCAGCCAGCTGGAGTCTTATCACAGGTACAAAAAAAATGAAATGAAAATATATGTGATATAAAAATATCCAGTCTAAAATGTGTGATTTGCAGCTGTAATTAGTTCTGTAAAATGTTAGGTAGCTTGCTTACGAGCAGTTAGTTGACATTGCAACTAGAGGGCAGTAGAACACTGAGGGTTTTGCTGTGTGGTAGGGTGTCTAGTATATGTGATATACTGTACATATAGTTTTAACAGTTTACAACTAAATGTAGTATAACAAAGTTTTTAGTATCCCTATGGGCCAGTGTTTCTCAGCTGCCTTTTTCAAGTACACCTGACATGTCATGTATTCAGAATTTTATTAAAGCAGAACTTCAGCCAAACAGCTAAAGCAATGATCCTTTTCTCCTGCCAAAACACCACATTGGTGATTTACACATCCCTGCTGCAGTATGTAACCAAAAACTGTCACTACTATTCACAATCTGTAATTTCTTCTGTCACTTCTCCCTCCTGTCTGTTCACTGCACAAAGAATAACCACTTGCCCCCCTGAAGATTTACCCCCCCCCCCCTTCCTGACCAGGCCATTTCTTGCTATATGGCACTATGTTACTTTAATTGACAATTGTGTGGTCATGCAATGCTGTACATAAATAAAATGTATGTAATTTTTTTCCCCACAAATAGAGCTTTCTTTTGGTGGTATTTGAACACCTCTGGGTATTTTATTTTTCGTGCTATAAACAACCGGCAATTTAAAAAAAAAAAAAAAAAAAAGTATTTTTTACTTTTTTCAATAAAACATATCCAATAATTTAGGCCAATATGTATTCTGCTATATATTTGTGGTAAACAAAATCCCAATAAGTGTATATTGATTGGTTTGTGCAAAAGTTATTGCGCCTACAATCTATGGTATATGTACTGGGATCTTTTTTTTTTTTTTTTTATACCAGTAATGGCGGTGGTCAGCGGCTTATAGCCAGACTGCGATATTGCGGCAATATGTCACTGACACTTTGTGGGAACCAGTGACACTAATACAGTGATCAGTGCTAAAAATATACACTATCACTGTGTTAGTGACACTAGCTGAGAAGGGATTAAATATTTAGGGCGATTAAAGGGTTAACTTTGTGCCTAACCAGTGTTTTTGTGTACACAGTGTGGTGGTTTTACTAGGCCATCTGCTGCATTTCATTCCCTGCTTTGCAGCAGATCGCCGCTGATAGGCAGAGCTGTGCCCTGTCACTCTCCTCACGGATCATCAGGTGTCGGCTGTCATCTATTGGCCAGCACCCTTTGATCGGCTTCTGCTATGACTAATCACAGCAGAAGCGGTGTGCCCCCTACACCAGAAGTGCAAAATTATATATATATTTTTATATATATATATATATATATATATATATATATATATATATATATATATATATATATATACATATACATATACATATACACACACATACACACACGTGATTTTGCACAGAACATCCACCCTGTATCAGTATATCTGCTAAGGGGGGTTGACAAATGAATAAGCATAATTAATTGTTGAGGTCCTTCCTGTTCTCTGAACTAAACAATCCATTCCAACCCTGGTGCTTGAAATATGTTAGAAAGACTGCACTATGTAATGTCACAGAGCCTATTTGCCTAAAGTGGGAGTAAACTCCCTTGGTTGATTTTTACCTATAGGTAAGCCTATAATACGGTTTACCTATATAGGTACAGTAAATATCTCCTAAACATGCACCATTTATGAGATATTTATTGTAGAAGCAGTCGGTGACATCACCAGCGCATGTGCTCTGAAGGAATGGCATACCAAGAAGATACAAGAGGGTTAGGAGGATACCCATGTTCCCGAGATGAAGAAGTGGGCCAATTGAAACCAAAAATTTGTCTCACGGAAACCATGGTAGTATCAGGAATGGAAATATTAAGGACCAAGGATTTATCTTCATTAATAGATAAGATATTTTTGAGAATCGTTTAGGTGTGGAAAATAGAACAAGCAAGGTTGTATGCGGTTGAGATAGGGTTAAGAGCAAATAATCAGCAAACTAGATCAATGCCCCAAATGTCCAGGTTAGATCCAATGAGGCATGTCAAGAGTTGCAAAGCTAACATGAACAGGATGGGAGAGAGACACGATACAAATATGATACAGATTGGAAAGAGAGGTAGCATACTGCAACCAAGGGTTGGCGGTATAGCGCTTTCAGCCAAGATAAAAACTGGGTTTGAAAACCTCACTTGCCCAGGACATAATACATGTAGTTTAAGGAGAGGGAATTGAATACTTTGTGTATATCTAGACCTGTCACCATCCCGAGGATTTGCCTTTGATGCACTGGGTTAATTAAAAGTGAATACTTTTGCAAGTATTATCATATGATTGTGTATACGAGACATAGCCCACGTAGTCGTCTTTGATTAGAGGGTTTAAGAATGTGTTAATTCTGATCACAAGGATTTTGACAAAAATTATTGTCCAGATTAAGTAACAAGATTGGGTGGTAGCTATGAGGGTCCAGCGAGTCTTTGCCTGGGTTCAGAAGCACGACGATATGAACTGATAGGAAGGAAGGGTGAAGGTCCAAGTATGTATGCAGATGGTTAACCAGGTCAGTCAAATGGGATGTGAGGAGGACTGAAAACTTTTTTTACTATGAGGCTAAGACAAATTCGGGGCCTGTTTTAAGAGATTTGATCGCCCCGAGGACTTCTGGAGTAGCGATTTCATCCTCATTATATCTGACATGGATTGGGATAGAGAAGGGATTTTTCTGATATTTTGGAATAGGGTTTGCACTAAATCTTTATGAAAAGGGTCTGAAGGTTTATATAAGGTCAATAGAGTCTACGTAAATGTGCCCATGATCGTGGATGAGTTAGCGGTGATTGAATTCTTTGGTAAGCATAATTTGATGAGTTTGATTTCTCAAATATGGGCATTAAGTAAGTTTGTTAACATGGGTCCTGGTTTATTGACACAGATGTTGAATTTCCTCCTTGACCATCACAACTGTTTTTCTGTCCTGTCATTAAGATGAAGGTGGAGCTCTATTCTCGTTGCATTCATTTGCTACCGCATTGATACAGTTTGGAATGCCTTAAATTTTGTCTATAATTGTGTTAAGTGGGGAAAAAAAAAGGAAATTTTATATCCCGTTTTTCTTGAATGCTGCAAATAGTCTTATGGGCTTCCCACAGAATTGTGGGAGATGAGGCAGTCAGTATTTTTATTGAAGCACTGTATGCAGAAAGGAAAGTATGGTTGGCCCCAACCGTATCTTTAAAATATAGCATAGAATCATTTAAGCACCACATGTAGGTCCACGAGGATGAGGACATGAATTTGTAATCGAGGGAGATTGCTGACTGGTCAGACCATGGCATCAATGGTATCTTGAGAGTGAAAACATCTGGGAGGAAAGATTTGGGTAAAAGAAATGATCAATATACGTGATGCTGTTGTGGGGTGTTGAATAGTATGTATAATCCCAAGTACTGGGATTCAGTTCTCTCCACTTGCCTACCAAATTGGATCCCATCAAAAGATTGTGGAATTGATGCATCTCGACCTACGATTCAGAATTGTAAGAAAAATCTGAAGTGGGAGAGGATCTATACAATTTTCTATCTAGGATCGTGTTACTGTCAACTATGAGTATTAAGGTACCTTTCCTATGCAAAGAGATAACTCGCAATAAATGAGAGAAAAGTTGATTTTGGTGGGTATTAGTAGTGTAAAAGTTTACAGTAATTCATTCCATGTCAAAGGTTGTCTGTTATAAGATCAAATAGTTGCGTTGGCTATTTCAAGGAAACATGTAAAAGGGGCGTTTTTGTGGAATGCTATCAATATGCTTCTCTTTTTTCACTAAAACTAGCCAAAAACATTTGGGGATAGTTCCTATACAGAAATTGTGGTTGGGAAGATACAGAAAATCTAGTTTCCCTAAGCCTACCATTTTGGCTTGTAGTGAAGTATAAAAAGTAAAAGCACACTTACGTTTCTAGGGGAGTTATAGCCCTGTACATTTTACAGTATAAATGGTAAATTTTGAGGAAGCCATTACAAAGGTTGAAGCAGAAGGTTTTGCATCAAAAGATCAAAGGCCCCTTTCGTACAGGATGCAAGAGGCTTAGGTATCTCAATGTCCACTGGGGAAGAAGGAAAAGAGAGAGTGGAGAAGAAGAAGAGTGAGAAAGGGAGGTGCAACAGATAGAACACAATCCTATGAAGAGAAGAATAGGAGGCATCTGCCTAAACAAATTATGGTGGTCCACATGAGCACTGCCATAGAGTGGGGGTCCCCTAAGCTGTCCTGGTGCATGGTTGGTGTTGCAGCTGCCTAAGGGGTGGGGAGGGGTAGCTGACAGCTGATTGGAGGAAAGGAAACCAGCCCCTCTGCACAGGCTTACAGGCTCATAGAAAAAATACATACACAGAGCTAAGGCTATAAGTCATCAGTTGTGTGCTGGAGGGAGGAAGGCCGTCTCCTGGGAGGCTGCTGTGTTGAGAAAAAAAACTGTCAGAAGTGAATCAGGCAGATAGAAATCAGAGAGAAGCCACACTCTATACTTTGGATTCAGGCTAGTATACACTATAGTGGGATGTGCTTTGTTCATTTTTCATCTTTGAGATCTAAAACCACTTGAAGGTGGCTGCGTTTTTCCTTCTGAAAGCAGTGATATATAGCAGCTGACATCAAAGTGGAAGCTGAACACAGTGGTTTATGCAGAAGGGGCATATGGTATGTCTGTCTCTACAGATGTGTCTGTACAGAAATATTTTAGGATAATAGTGGGAAGTTGAGGAAGATTTCCTGAGACCTTTTGGTAAGCAAAATTTAAAACCTTGTCATTGTTGTTCCAGAAAGTACTGTGTTGTCAATTGCCCCTGTAAAGAAGAAGCTAAATGTTTTAGAATGAGTTCTTATTTCTGCAACTGTATTGCATGTTACAGACTGGAACAGTGTCCCTTTTCCAGCCATTGAAAGCCACTCTGGAACAGAGCATTCCCAGCACGTTTAGCAACAGCAAGATGTTCCTTCGACAAAAGAGCTCGGCATCCTTGAACAACGGTGGCGTGGTGTGAGTACTTCAGTTTAAAGACTTGATACTGTCAGATCACAATTTTGTAGTCCCAAAGTGATTCTTCTCTGTTACCTGGAGTGTCCTAATCCCAGTGCTCAGGGCTCCTGAAAGCCGCAAGGCCTTTTCCATAAAACTTATGGAAAGAAAACTAGTTTAATTGTCTTTGAGACACTGTCCCAAAATAAGCACGTAGATCAGGAAAGTCAGATAGAAGTCAAAATTCCAAATCTGCATACTTGTTTTGAGATGGTGTCCAGCCAGCTGCTAAAAAGTAGCCCTGAAAGTAGCCATTCTGAAAAAAGATATACAGTATTAGCAAAATGGATAACATGAACTGATATTTCAAAAGCTACAGGTTCACAGTACAGATTGAACAGATTAGTAATGATTTGTTGACCTTTTTGCAGACCCAACCAGGAGAGTGGAATACGGGAGTCAAGCTCATGGGGGACACAGCCAGCCCCAGACCCTTTCTCTACGCCACGGAGCACAGCATTCCAGAGGGGCCACTCAGAGGAGATTCACACCCAGCAGGAGGTCAAGCAGGTATCCCTACATTTTCCATTCTTACCATCAATTCTGCTTTTCTTTTTAAATTTGTTTTTTTTTAGAAGTGAAAAGTTAAACATTTGTAATATGTATAATATGCAAAGTACTCTTCAAAACAAAAAGCACACATACAGTTCAGCACAAGAAGGAAGTTTTATAAACAAGTTTGGAATACAGAAATGACCAGCAACCGTTTCTGAAACCCAGTATTTAGAAAATGTTCAAGTACTGTACATATTGAATACCACTAGTAATGTTGTTCTCAAACGCTTGGATTTCTTAATTTAGGTATCTCATTTTAGAGTATTTTCTTTTACAGTCTGTGGAAATGAAAGAAATTGGGCAGAGTTTATCCAATGGTGGAGAGCACTCAACCGGACTGGAGACACAAGGGCGAGCTGTGTCCATGCCACGCCTAGCTGCAGAGGCTCATGTAAGTGCATAGCTGTTTATACAAGAAAACTTATTCCTGCGCCAAAACTTTCCAAATAACACTCTAAAAATGCTGCTGTGCCAATCGTGAAAACACAAACAATATAAATATAAATAAACAGCGCAAATTTAGATGATTAATCAATATAATAAATCATATAAAATAGGTGCATAAATTATTCGTGTTTGCCCTTAATCTTAAACAAAAACACCCAAAAGTCCATGTGCTGAAAACATAATTAAATTGTTGAAATAAAAGTGCAAACTTCTTTTCTTCAAAAAATACTTTCACCTTCCACCCGTGCACAAACCAACATCGAATACACTCACCAGAACTTGGTGAGTAAAAGACCTTTAAGGAATTTTTAGGGATCCTAAACCCTCTTTGGTGCCACGCTAGGGAAAATCTTCACCCTCCGAATAGACTCCACCATCCAACCAAAAGAAAAAAACTCACATAGCATAATATTGTCACACAATAGTAACCTTTTCCAAATGGAGATTAAGGCCACTCACATGTTAAACACTTGCTAAAGGCATGTTTATTATGTATAAAAGGCTTCAGTTCCAGCAGATATACAAACTTTTCCTTCCAGGACTCTCACATCCACAGTGGAACAAAGACAGGACTCCTCTTAGACCAAACAGTGAACCAAGATGGCCGCTGGAACGCACCGCTCAGCGTGCATTCCACTCACCGGAAATGACGTCAGGCGCATGGAGTGTGGACCGGAAATGAGTCAACGTGTTTCGCCCCTCCCATAGGGCGTTATCAAGACCCATCTCCCGTCCTCACTTAAATATTCCACTTATATTCCATTGATATTTAAGTGAGTGAGGACGGGAGATGGGTGTCTTGATAACGCCCTATGGGAGGGGCGAAACGCGTTGACGCATTTCCGGTCCACACTCCATGCGCCTGACGTCATTTCCTTGGTTCACTGTTTGGTCTAAGAGGAGTCCTGTCTTTGTTCCACTGTGGATGTGAGAGTCCTGGAAGGAAAAGTTTGTATATCTGCTGGAACTGAAGCCTTTTATACATAATAAACATGCCTTTAGCAAGTGTTTAACATGTGAGTGGCCTTAATCTCCATTTGGAAAAAGTTACTATTGTGTGACAATATTATGCTATGTGAGTTTTTTTCTTTTGGTTGGATGGTGGAGTCTATTCGGAGGGTGAAGATTTTCCCTAGCGTGGCACCAAAGAGGGTTTAGGATCCCTAAAAATTCCTTAAAGGTCTTTTACTCACCAAGTTCTGGTGAGTGTATTCGATGTTGGTTTGTGCACGGGTGGAAGGTGAAAGTATTTTTTGAAGAAAAGAAGTTTGCACTTTTATTTCAACAATTTAATTATGTTTTCAGCACATGGTCTTTTGGGTGTTTTTGTTTAAGATTAAGTGCATAGCTGTATTTAATGTTTTTTTTACTAGGGTTTTTTACTCTGTTGCCTACTGAGACTATGGAACCATTGTTTGGACAGAATCAATATTCATGAATTAAGTAATAGCTGATTTTTTAGCTAAATTTAGGCTCCAACTGTGCTGCTTCTGCTTTAGTCTTCAGAAGGTGATGTCACTGCTACTTAGAGAAGGAATAGACTTAAATGTCAAGAATATCAGCTTAGGCCACAAATGGGGCTTTGAAGGAAACATGAAGCAAGGAAACCTGGGCCATTGTTGTTAGGAACCAAAAACAGGTTTCACCATTCATTCACTGGAAAAACAGGTCAAGGCATCAGTTTATAATGGGCAGCTGCTTAACATCTCCATATATGTTTGCTTTAGTTATGTTCATCAGTCCCAAAATATTTGCCTTGCTAGCTTCCTTATGAAGTGATGTCACAGGGCCTATAGAATGCACAGACTGCATTGTCGTCAGTACTAGACCAGGGGCCGACTGACAACTCATGGGGCCCCCGGGCAATAGGGGATCATGGGGCCCCTGTGTCTTTGCCCAAACTCAAAAAAGCCTATGAAAAAAAGGTACCAGGAGCATCTAATGGGACCCCCTACTGACCCCGGGCCCTCGGGCAGTGCCCAAGTTTCCAAATCGTCAGTCCGCCCCTGTACTAGACATGTGTGATTCGATTCAGTACGAATCGAAATTCAGACAAAATTTTCTTTATCTGGAGATTTGGATGTATCCAAATTACAATAGTAATGAATTTCAACTAATCCAAAAAAATTTGTATGCATTCATTTGCGACTTCAGGAGGTTTTTGTAAGTTTAATAATATTGTCACACTCTGTATTGTTATGATTGGCCAAAGTCAAGCAAAACATCAAAGTCACAAGTATAACGAATCGAAATTGCAAGCAAGTAGCCGAAATAACATAATGACATCACAAATGAATCCTAATCTTCCAAAAATAACTTCCGAAAATATGAATTGATTCAGAACAATGAGTATACAGTACAAAACGAATCAGAAAATACAATACAATTTCCGAAAACGAATCATTCTAACATAAATATGACAAAACAAAATAATTGATTTAACGAATTAATGCAAAACATTCCTTATGAAATTATATTTTTAGTTCTTGGTGGATCACTGGACCATATCAATAATACTAACCCAAACCACAAATGTGCAGCTCCTTCATACATCTGAGGAAGGGATGGTGTTTGATCCTGGAAAATGAATACCGGTAGCTTGCATTGTCACAACATTGGTCCATATACCACAAAATGCCTTTTCAGTACGCTTATGAAGTTATGTCTCTGAACCTCAAGAAAGGATAAACTGCATTTTCACCAACATTGGTCTCAACCTTAACATTTCTATTTAGTACTTCACTGAAGTTATTTTACTTACCCTAGAGAATGGATAGACTGCAGTGTCACCAATACCCAACACTGAAGCCTTAATAGTACTCCTCAGGAAGAAATGCAATCGTTCCTTAAAAAAATGGATAGACTATGCTGTCACCATATTTAATTCCTAACACTGTTTAGAAATGTATGTTTTTGGTTCCTGGAGACTATTATCATAGATACAAGTCACAAAATGTCCACCTAATCCATAGTTCACTGGAAGTGATGTCATTGGTCCCTAGAGAATGGACAGAAAACACTGGTCCATACCACAAAATACCTCCTGAGTACTTTTCAGGCAGTAGCTGTATTTCATCTCAGGGTACTAGCATAGGCTGCTTTCCTAAGGATAGTAGCCCAACCACAGGAAGCAGCTGTCTTCACTTTTTTAGGACTCCCTGTGTCTGCTCTCCTCAGACGGGATCGATTTATCTTCTTGACTAGATGTCACAGGATGTCTAACTTGGTGTGGTATAGTTAATATGTACACCAAAATTCTAGGTTTCTAACACTCTCCCATACAGGTCTGAGGACCCCAGAGATCTTCACATTATTTACCTGAGTAAACATAACATTACCCATTATAACATTAACATTGTCCAGTTTTTAACTGTATTCTGGTACATGTGTCTCCTCTTATGTAACTGTTGCTGACTTGTCTCTTTTCCTTTTTGTACCACTCTCCCTTCCTACCCTCGTTGTCATCTCATTGTCATTTCGCCTATGTCCATCTCTGCTCTGACTTTTACTTGTGTTTGCGTTGCTTCTGTGGTTCTGTCCTCTGTTATCCGTGCCCTCCCTTAATTTATTTCTCCGACTTCCTCCTTCTTCCTGTCACCCCTTGGCTCCTCCTTCCCCCCTTTCCCCAACACTCCTTCCTCCATGCTGTCTGCCGCTGGTCTCCGTTGGTGCCGTTTGAACCGCTTCACCACCTGTTTGTCTTTCATCAGCCGCGGAGCCGTGCTCCCTCCCCCAGGAACGGTTACTTGCCCGTATGTAGATCTATTACTTCACATCTCACATGTGTGTATAGTGCTCTGACCGTAGCTCAAACTCATGTGCATTGACCAGAGTCTTCCATTTAGTTTTGCCAGGCATGTTAATGTCTGTCAAATTTTTTTTTTTTACCACAAACTGATATTTAATACTCATGAATTTATAGCAAAAACCTAATGTGAACTTTTTTTTTTTTTTTACCAAGAACTGTGAGGTTAATTATAACTAATCAGACCCTTTGCTACATGTGAAAAATCAAAGCAGAATGTAGCCTTTGCTACGACATTGTGAAAGAGTCCTGGTTTTGAAAAGGTGCTTGCTGCTATAGACAAATTAGCAGTTGCCTTTTAGTTATTTCAGTTATGGTTTTACGTTGTGATTTAAAATGAATTGGGCTGTGAGTGAGTTAGGTGTTAACTGGCACTGGTCTTGTGGAAAGAAGCTAGAAAGAAGGATGGAGCAATCAGAAAACACGTCACACTTGACCTCTACCAGTGAAGGATTGATGTCAGTAGACTGCCTGTCTGGCTCAACCTAAACTTCAGTAGGGACTATGAGCAGTTCCATGGTATCGGTCACATTACTGGGTACTTAAATCATGTAAAACTGACATTACAGGACAAGGTTAAGTTTTTGCATCCTTAAACTTTTCTAACTATCAGACAAGCTGAAAGTGAGAGTAAACATCCACTGTTTTAGCACTACAGGTCCTCTTTAATGTGGATATAGATGAGCATTGCTCAAAAGCATCTCAAGAATTCTTCATGCGCTTTACATTTTACACAAACCCCAAATACAAATAATCAATATAGGAGTACTCTTCCCTGGATTACTTGGGCGTCACCGCAGACTATAAGCGATCATCGTCCCAGAAAAAGTCTCTCTTTGTATCCTTTTCTATAGTATTCTTTCTATGGGTCTGTAGGATACAATTCAGTAAAAGGAGAAGGGAATTTACTAGGAGTCTTTAAACTATGAAAACACAGAGATACCTTGATGACAGACACAGCTTTCCAAGATCAACGTGACACCAAAGAGGATTCTTCGAGATAATTAGGCTGACCTAAGAAAACACGTAAAATACAAATTAAGGCATAGCTAAACCCCTTTAGATAACAGTGCAGAATCTCAGCCAGGTCTCTGTGATATATCTTCAGCATATAGTCAAATAAACCTCCTTGCTCACACTTCTGCTGGTATTAAATGGTAGTTATCGGTTATTCACATTCTGTATAATGGCAGGCACCTCCAGGTGAATGAACAGATCTCTAGCTTTCTCTGAGACCTCTCTATGAATACTTACATCCTCCATACTCAAATATGTACATTTTGACTTCATGTAGGTCATTGGTCCCTAGCCCTCATATCCCATACTTCTCTATTCTGCACTATGGTGGATGGCTTCTTTGGCCTATAGATGGGGCACAGATGGAGTCATTATTTGCATTTTAGAGTAAAGTTTGAGGACACTAGAGCTGCTAATACATATGGGTGATGGATTACTAACGTTTATGCCACAGGTACACTCTAAAGTTATAAGAGGTAGAAGAAAATGAAAGACACCTTTGCCACTATAGAAACTATTACTTAATTATCCCACAGTGGCTTAGGTATTGGTCTCGTCATCGCAGCAGAAGGAGAGAACTGGATTTCAGAGAAGCCAAGAAAACAGTGAAACACACTGTTACAGAGAATTGAACAGATCAAATTCCTGATGATTGATTTCACTTAAGAGATAACTCAATAATTGTTTTTCCTTTACTGACTCATTACTTACTTTTAATATTTGAATAATCAGCTAGGGGATGTTTTGGGATCACAGTGCAAACCCAATGAAAAAGATGAGTGTCTTTGTTTAATAACACAGGCTCCTACCCAGGGCTTGAGGCTGCTAACTTGAGGAAGTGATCCCAGTTCCAAGGTAGAGCCCACCTTTGCAGAGTTATATCTGAACATTAGAAAGGCTTCTGGAAATCTGCTCTGGCAGCGTCAAACACTTGAATGTGAGCTTCAGTTCTTATGGGTTCCCAAACAGGTTCCCTTTAAACCAGCATTTTCTTTGAATTTTGACGGGCCTCTTTCAATGTCATTAAGTACTTGCTATACTGGTTTTGCCCACTAGAAGAAAGAAGTGCATTCATATCCATATCAGGATTTACTGTACTGCTACAGTCCCAAATGTGCATTTATGAATCTGTGACAGTAGCAATAACATATAAACACCCTGGGGTTTATTTACTAAAGCTGGTTCACTCAGAATCTGGTGCACCTCTGCATAGAAACCAATCAGCTTCCAGGTTTTATTGCTAAAGCATAATTGAACAAGCTGAGGTTAGAAGCTGATTGGCTACCATGCACAGGTGCACCAGATTCTGAGTGAACCAGCTTTAGTAAATAAACCCCCCTCTGTTTTAGGACAGCTGTACTCTGCTTTGCAAAGATTTAAAATAAGTTTAATAGAAATTCTAATCAAAAAATCCAAACCAGCCAGTGTTTAGGACTGACTGCCTCTGAAATCATATATACCTGTGGCTGCTCAATTATAATCCCGATACTTCTAGGTAAGGGGAAACAGGATACATTATCTGCCCTGGCTAGTCACCACCCCCTAGCACTGTGGGAACATGAGGGGCACTGAGTCGACCATAGAATGATTATCATTAGTAATTCTCATCAACATTTCTGATTGGTTGCTGGGGATCACAGTGGTGCATGACAGATGGTAATTGTAAGAATAGGCACTGGAAGATGCCTTGCATGGGGTGGGAGTTAGTTTAGTATTCAATTCTTAAGAAAAGTTTAACTTAAACCTTTTAGACATTCAAATGGAACTATGTCCAGTCCTGAAAAGTAGGCAACACAAGGTGCCTCCTGTGCATGTCCAAGGAGTCCCCAATCCCTAGGTTCGCATTTCTCAGTATCCTTGGGATTAGATCCTATTGGGCAAGCCTCTCAATCTTTTTACCCCAGAAATTATTACTAGGTCTCGGAGAACCCCTGCAAAAATTAAGTTATTGGGGGTCAGTGGGAAAAATGCCTTGACTTTAGTGGTCAGGGAGGAAAGCCCCCCTTATAGTGGTGGTCATGATGCCACCCTTCCAGACAGCTAAAAAGATCATTGGTGTTGTAATGCTGCTGGCTCTGCCAAGTGGCACTGGACCCGGAACTTTGTCTTCAAGTTCAGACAAAAGTATTTTTTACATTAAAGTGGGAAGGTTCAGAAACTTTCATCAGACACTATCAGATGGGAGGCAATCAACAACTCAAGAAACCCCTAGCGATTTCATTAATTCCCCAAAATATGAATCCAAACTGTTTAAAATATGTAGATCTCCTAATATGTTTTTAGAAATATTAAAAATATAATTCTAAAATAACAAATGTAATAAGTAACAGTGTCCTCCTTGAGTGTTTGTGAATTGTCATTGCAGCCTATAACGGATGCAAGTCCGATGAAGCGCTCTGTGTCAACACTGACTCCTCCACAGCGGCCTCAGCTGTATGAATATTCCCTTGAGAGGGTGCAGCATGACCGCAGTCATCAGCACCACCACCGATGTCACCGGCGCAAAGAGAGGAAACAAAAGTCTATGGAGAGGTCTCCGCAGAATGAAGACCCAGGTAAAGCTCTATTTTTGCATCTTGATGTAGAGTTGAAACTAAAACTTTAAACCCTGACTCCAGGAAAAACACTTTTTTACATTTTGGATGGAGCAAAGAAAGGATAGAACATCTGTTGGCTTTTTATTTGTATCCTCTCTGTGGAGATTTCTTCCCAGTGTCTGTCAGGACAGGAAGTGATGAGAAATCTCTCAAGTGGGGAGGAAGACCCTATTAAAAACTTGATACAAATATTTACTCTTCCCCAATCTATCCAAAAACTAAAATAAAATGTTTTGGCTAGAGTTGGGCAGTGTACGGTGGGCGTGTATGCCTGCCCATCAACTTACACATTATCTTCCTGGGTGAGACTGTTTGATAGTGAAATGACACAAAGCCAATTTAAGTCACTTACTAACTTACTTGAGGAATCTTGTGTCAGCAGAAGCTGCACCACGGGAGAGGCGACAGGAGAGAGGGAGGTCCCAGGAACGCAAGCAGCAACCACCATCGTCATCGGAGAAGCAGCGCTTTTACTCATGTGACCGATATGGCAGCCGAGATTCTGGGCACCCCCGGCACTCTGACCACAGCCGGGCCACTTCGCCCACTTCTGGACAGGATCATGCTCCCCCCCCCAGACAGGTGAGGACATCAATGTACAAACACAAAAACTTTCATTGTGTGCCCAGCAAAGGGAACAATATACCACTGTGCTTGCAAGAAACTAACAGATTCTTTGTCTTCAAGTTCAGACAAAAGTATTTTTTACATTAAAGTGGGAAGGTTCAGATACTTTCATAATTTTTTTTTTCAGTTGCTCTGTTCTCATTAGAGTGATTTCTGCTTACTTCCGGCTAAGTGGCAGGGGCAGATGGATGGACAGATTATGGTGCAAAATCACTGCAGTAAGGACACAGACAGCTAAAAAAAAAAAAAACACTTAATACCGTGAGGAAAGGCTAGAGAACCTCTGTGAGTTATGTATTGCTGTCTTGTTTCTCTCCATCTGTTTACCCAGTTGAACTTTGTCACCTCAAACAGAAATTATGGAGATGGATGAAGAGCGCTGTGCTTGAATAGAAAGTCTTGGAAACTTTACCAGTTGCAGAACAGTGATCACTTCTTTGGAGAACATGACTAGCGCTACCAAAAATGCAAAGTAGGGGAATCCTGAATTACCTGACACACGCTGGTTGTTCTTTGTCCTACACTAACAAAGTGATCATTGTTCTCCATCAGACTGCAGTTTCCAAGACTTTCTATTTATGCACAGTGCTCCTCACCTACCTCCACAAACTTCACAGGTTAGAAGAGACCATCTCCAAGAACTCACCACAGACCTAACCACCACCACCAAGATCTAGCGCTACCTCACATGAACACTACAGAGGTCACTAGGACAGAAGCTATGAAAAATAGAAAAGTTTAGATTGGTAAGAAATGGAGGCATAAATTTGGGTGACAGATGTCAGAGGAATTTCCTCTGGCTTTGGAGAGATTTTCCCTCATCCCCTATTGTGCCCCTAGGTCAGGAAATAAACCTGACAGGGGTTCTAAGCCTTCCCTATGCTATCCAAAACAAAGAAAATAATTTAGATGCTCTTTAAAAAAAAACTCCAGGCTGATAGAAAGCAAGGAATTTGTTTGATTATGTAGGGGCTTCTGAAACCAATGCATGCAACGAGTTATCACCTTTGCTTCATCTCTTTGGATAGGGGGATCAGATGATACATAGCCCAGTCTTTGACACTCTGATCCCTTCATTACAGCACAGTTCACATTCTGCAGATTAGGGAAATCTGTTGTGGCATCGAAGGAGATAGGCTTATTTTCTTGATTGAGACCTGCTGACATATAAAAGGGTGGCCATACACAGCTTTTTTAAATAACTGTTTAAAAAAAAAAAAAATAAAAAAAGATATGTTTTATTGAGTTTTATCAGGTTGGTAAACAAAAAAAGGTGTATCCAAACAAAAACTCCAAAAATACAATGAACAACCTTGCAGTGTCTCACAAGTCTGAAAAAGAAGAAAAGAGCAATTGCAAGTCACTTCAGAATAATACAAAAATAGACTGGGCACTCCAAAACAAAGTCATAGGAGTCTGCAAAAGAATGAGATAATTCAGTAGTATCAGTATCCTGGATCTAGAGAGGTTATAGCGAGGGGAATAGAAATCCACTTGCCCCAGATCATATCAAATAATTTAGTTTTTTCTCCCTAAATTCAAAAGGTAAGTCTAAATAAAAGGTAGGGAGTCATTAAATTTAAACCAGGAACCAAGTGTAGGCAACCGACCCTTTCCAGGACAGTAAAATGACTTTTTTAGCTACAGGAATTGCAACAACCTTTTAGCATATTTAGAGAGCGTTAAATCCCCAAATATTCCCATGTGCCAGTTTTTAGGATGTAGAATATTAGTTGGACTAACCTAGAGGAGATAAATGAGCCAACGTCCCCCAAAATCGGTGGACTACAGGGCAAGACCAAAATAATGGAGGATAATAGCAGTATGGCCACAACCTCGGAAACAATCTGTTGTGGGACATAAACCCATAATATGTAATTGAGCAGGAGAAAGGTGACTATGATGGAAAACCTTAAATTGAATAATTCTATCTTTAGATGAAATAACAGAATTTTTGTAGGTGTCACTGAATTCAGACCAATCAGAGCCTATAAATGAGATATCTAGGGAGGCCTATTTCAATTGAGCAGTGGCGAACCTAGGGATGGAGTCAACCATGGTTGTAGAGCAATATAGTTTAGTAGGATCAGTTCACCTTAAAATTTTTTCCAAGGGGGTTACCTGTAAAGGGTTATCTAGAGATCCAAATTGCTCAAGCACAGCATGGTACAGCTGGCAGTAATATAATAAATAACTGGAAGGCACCCTAAATTCTTTCTGTAGTTGTAGAAAAAATTTAGAGCCTTGTGCTGTAAAAAGATGGCACAGATATTTAACCCCAAGGGGTGGCCATCTTTGTGGGTCAAGTAAGGTGCAAAACTCTCCCAGGATGGGAATAGACCAGAGAGTTTTTAGGGGGTGCTGACCAAGAGGAATCTGGACAGGAGGGAACCCTCTAACTATAAATATTTTTTTTTAATTGCTCTAATTGTTTACAAAATGTTAGCACCATGGTGACTCCACATCTTTTTTACACAGAAAATAGTTTTTTTTGCACCTGCAGGATATGACCTTATATATCCAGTTTAGATATATTTCTTTGTGGCCTAGAGCTATCAATTTTAATTTTCCTAGGCATATAGTACAGGACACAGGCTTCTTTAATTATTAAAACTGGGGTTATATGTAGGTGATTGGATACTGACAAAAAGCTGATTGCACATCCGCATATATCACTCATCCCACTCCAGCTAGCCTCAATTTTTTTCTAGTGTGTTTAGGTGATGGATCTCTTTGCCGAAAGACACCTACCTTCTTCTATGAAGGTTTCTCTCATTCTGTCTCTCTGGATAAATATATTCCAAGATGATTCTTCTATGAATCATATGCACCATAGCATTCCCTACGTCTGCATCATAGTGTTCCCTATGAAGAGCACCTATGTTGCAGCTTCCAGATCACTAGACTTCTTGGCAGAGCCATGGGGACCATGCTAGACCCCTCTGGTGGAAGATGAAGGGCTGCACTGGATTCTGCTGTGGATGCTCCCCTTTGCACACGGGATGCTATTCAGATCCAGGTTGTGGTCTGTCGGGTGTAAACACCAGTTCCTGAGGACCACTGTGGGGCTATACCCATTGTAGGAGGGTGAAGTCAGAATAGGGTAATCAACCTGTCTGCTAGATGTGATGAGTACAGGGGCGAAACTTTAAGCTCAGGTTGCCCTTCTTCCTTTAAAAACTCTTTGGGGGGCACGAGGGTCACCAACTTTTTTCCTCTGGTGGTTACAGCAGGGGATAACTTTAAGCTTGATGAGGATTCCGGTCAGTGACATGCCTATTGCAGCACTACTGGTCCCAGGGAACCCCTGTCTATATCTACAGCACAGGGTACATTCTGTTTACACATTTTTTTAAGTTTTACCAGGTGGGCATTCAGGCCTCCCCGGATGTGAGTTTTAGGACATAAGGTACTAGCAGCTGCTTTTCGTGTTTGTTGAGCACTTTGTGACTTGTTTATTAAGTGGGGGTGTTTGCATTTTCTCACCCTTTTGGATGCCCCGCCCACAAGGCCATGTCATTCATTCACAGTGTTCTGTGAGTGAATGAACTACAAGTCTTGACAGCCGTAGGCGGGTGTCAGCTTGTAGTTCTCAATGAACTACCACAACGCTGTGGAGCTCATTGAATCTTCCTGTCAGTATACACTATATTGCCAAAAGTATTGAGATGCTTGCCTTATATGCACAGGAACTTTAATGGCATCCCAGTCTTAGCCCATAGGGTTCAATACTGAGTTGGCCCAACCTTTGTACCTATAACAGTTTCAACTCTTCTGGGAAGGCTGTCCACAAGGATTAGGAGTGTGTCTATGGGAACGTTTGACCATTCTTCCAGAAGCACATTTGTGAGGTCAGGCATTGATGCCGGACAAGAAGGCCTGATTCGCAGTCTTCACTCTAATTCATCCCAAAGGTGTTCTATCGGGTTGAGTTCAGAACTCTGTGCAGGCCAGTCAAATTCCTTCACCCCAAACATGCTCTTCCATGTCTTTATGGACCTTGCTTTGTGAAGTCATGTTGGAACAGGAAGGGGCCATCCCCAAACCGTTCCCACAAAGTTGGGAGCATGAAATTGTCCAAAATGTCTTGGAATGCTGACGCCTTAAATGTTCACTTCACTGGAACAGTGAAAACAACCTGAAAAACAACTCCACACCATAATCCCCCCTCCACCAAACTTTACATTTGGCACAACTGCCAAACCCAGACACTTCCATCGGACAGACAGGGAAGCATGATTTGTCACTCCAGAGAACACATCTCCACTGCTCTAGAGTCCAGTGGCGGCATGCTTTGCATTGCACTTGGTGATGTAAGGCTTGGATGCAGCTGCTCGGCCATGGTAACCCATTCCATGAAGCTCTCTACGCATTGTTGTTGTGCTAATCTGAAGGCCACATAAAGTTTGGATGTCTCCAGGCTTCAGGATTCACTGACACCGCACTGTCATTTTCTGTGGCCTACCACTTTGTGGTTGAGTTGCTGTTGTTCCCAGTTGCTTCCACTTTGTTGACCATGGAATATTTAGTAGTAAGGAAATTTCACAGATGGACTTATTGCACAGGTGGCAACCTATCACGGTACCACGCTTGAATTCACTGAGCTCCTGAGAGCGACCCATTCCTTCACAAAATGTTTGTAGAAGCATTCCTTGGTGCTTGATTTTTTACACCTGTGGCCATGGAGGTGATTGGAACACCTGAATCCAATGATTTGGAGAAGAGTCTCAATACTTTTGGCAATATAGTGTATCTGCTTGCCCATACATCCCATATGGGCAAGCAGATATACTGACAGATCTGCAGGAGACCTGCATGACACCAGCGATCTGCTGATCACTGGTGCAATGCTTTACAGGCTCCTGCAACCAAAAATAATAAATGCAAATTGTTTTACCTGCAAAAAATGTGCATTTATTATTTTTGGTCAAAAGGTGAACTTATCCTTTAAAAGAAGTCTTTGTTGCATATTGTACGATCAGGAAAATAGGGTTTTTCACGTACAAGTAAAATCTGTTACCTGGAGTACAGTACAGGACACAGGTCCCTCCCATCTGTTATTATCTCCCTATTGCGTTCAGAAAAGGCTAGGCGGGAGTGAGAGGGGTTATATAGGGGATGTCACTGCAGCTTTATTTGCCAATGTCCAATCATCTGAAGGTGGATGTATATAACCCAATCATAATGATTAAAGAAGCTTGTGTTATGGTCTGCACTGTACTGCAGAAGAGACAAAAATTCTATTATATGTGGATTGTGTAGACTAAGAAGATCTCTGTTTAGACCTGGTTTGTATCTAAACTGGCTGCTTAACATAATTTCATAGGAGTAATAATTTATCAAATTAGTTTTTTCTAGTAGTAAAAATGTTATTTGGTTGTATTAAATGATACTGGCACCTCTGCATTTTAAAATACCATTCTGTTTTTTATCAGGAGTTCTTTAATGAAAATGTGACATTGCCTGATATTCTTCTGAAAATGTCAGTTTACCTGGCTACCAAGCTGATTCTCTCATTCCAGCACTTTCTGAGTCACTCCTCTGAAATAAACATGCCAAGTTCTGCCTGTTCCTGGTCAGCAAAAGCCAACATGTCAGTGTGATAGCCAGGCAAATAGCATTTTTACAAGGAGAGACCCCAAAGGGCAGTCTCCCTATTTCTCTCAGCACAGGCCTGTAAATACGTCCATGAATGTTTTCCTTGCTGATATCAGTTCAGAAACATCTGTGAACTGCTAAATTGTATGGTGGTGTCTTTATATGTACCGTACTTGTTGGCTGAACAATCAGCTGACAGATCTGTGTTAAATGGGAGTGTGATGTAGGTTACATTGTTATCTTATCCTGTATGTGTCCTTGCAATGTGCTGCATACAGGATTAGGGCCAGTGTATGTGCGCAGATGTTAAAAAAAAAAATTGCACAAGGTTGAAATTCTATCATGGTGAATACCAGACATCATTTGTTATCAGCAATGTGAAGCCATTAATTCTGTTCCTGAGTCCATTCACATCTGGGCTGTATAATGCATGTGCGTTACCGCATACTAAGGAACTCCAGCTGAGAACCTGTTTTAGTCTGCGTGCCCTCTTCATTTGTGGGCACTGCATCACTAAAAAGAGTACAATAAGAATGAATGCAGGCATGTGTACATGCCTTTTCATGCATAATAATGGCAGCCTTACCCTTGAAACAAGCACACTTAAATATGGAAATACACATTTTTAAACGTGTCAATGCACAAAACGCAGTACACAAAATGTGTGTTGGCAGAACACAAGTACGAATCAGGCCAGAATTTTTTTTTACTCCGGACTGGTCAATCTGCATTCCTCAAGGTGTTTGGAGAGATAAAACCCTTCAGAAATGTAAGGAACAATATGAGGCTGATGATATGATTACTTCTATTCCAGATGGATCAAGAATTATGTAAAGGTTTGCCAGACTGTTAATTTAGACCAATGGTCTTCAAACGTGACCCTTTGCTTGCCTTTATCTAGCCCATGGGGCAGTATTCCACCAGCTGACACCAATGATGGGACATCATTCTGCCCAGTGACACCATTGATGGAGTTATTCTGCCAGTTGATACAAACAATCGGGCCTTTTTCCTGCCATTAAAACCAATGATGGGGGATTGTTTATGCTCATTGATGCCGGGGCGTTTCTACTCCGACTTGCCACAATCTGGCCCCGCTAAAGCCTAAAAAAAAAAAACGTATACTGGTCCTTTGCTTAAGTTTGAAGACCCTTATTTGAACAATAATGTTCTCATAAAATAGTTTATACGTGTTTTTACCTGTAAACACCTTTCTTGTGTAAACATCCGATAGCCCTTAGACTGCTGTTTGGTGCCTCCAGCTTGGATGTGATGTCAGCTGCCCTAACAGAGAGTGTCCCTCAAGTGGCATTCTATAATATTCCCCTTATCCCCTCCCCCAGCAGCTACATTAAAGATTATATAGCAAAATAAAGGGAAGGACCAGGGGAACTGGACCAGCACAGAGTAACCAGACACTCCCAGAGGAGGAGGTGGCTGTGCCATGGAACTGACTTTTCCCAGAGTAGTCAAATTCTTTAGCAAGTTCAAAGTCACTTTGCAAGTGAACATAAAATTGTTTATGGAATGGAAGATTGCTGAATTTGAAATACTTGATTTTTCTTTGCTTTTACTTGCAATTAATGTAAGTTACTGGCAGTGTCTCTTTACCATGGTCTAAAAACAGCTTTATACATTTATCATCAATAAGGATTTCATGGATTGTCAAAATATGGGTAAAATAAAAAGACATTGCAGGTTCTAAAAGAAGACAAGAAGACATTGCAGGGGGCCATTTACAACACTGTCCCCACTCTAAAAAGACCAGCCCAAGAAACAAAAATGTGTTTCTTGGGCAGGTTAAAAGCACAGAAAGTGAAAACGTTTTGGCTGTTTTGCAGAGCAGAGTATTTTAAGACTTTGAGGCCCACACAAGCACAAAACTGATGGGTCTTTCACTCTGTAAGGCATTAGCAGTGACCACCTTTGCTACTATGGTACTCAAATTAATGGCAAATTGCTGTCATAGAAAATTGCATTGCGATAAGAACTGATTTTGGTACATTAATCATGATATGGAATGTTGCATGTTGTGTGTTTTAAGGCTGTCGACTCAAACCTGTGTGTTTTTGCTTTTCTAAACTCTTCCTTGTTTTTTCTCTTCTTTTCATGCCCATTGCCTATCTTTTTATCTTGTGTTTGTGCCAACTTTTTTGTCTTTTGGTGTGGTTTTTTTTTTTTTACTGTGCTTTTGTGTGTTTCGTGTTGGACATGATCCTTTACCCTCCTCTTGCCTATCCCTTTTTGTGCTATGGGTATTGTGTCTGTGTGTGACCACTTGCATCATTGTCTTACGGACTTTTCACTGTTATGTGTGTATGGTGTGCCCCGTTGTGTTTCTTTTTTCCATTCTGTGTTCCTGTGCCGTTTTGATGTGCTTTTTCACCCTTTCAATCTAGGGCAGTGGTTCGGCCAGCGGGAGTCCACGTCTGACCAGCTCCGGTGCTAGTACCCCGTGCCGCGGAGTCCGGAGGCAGCTGCCACAGACGCCACTCACTCCACGGCCCAGCGTCACATATCGGACAGCTCACTCTTCCCCTGTGCACTTCGGGGGCCCCACTTACTCTCCCGGACGTTTGAGCCGGGGTCTATCAGAGCACAATACCTTGCTGTACAGCGATTCCCCAAGCCACTCCGCCTGCACAGTTACACGCATCGGTTCTGACCCCTACCTAGGACCACGCCAAGATGCCGACAGCTACTGCCCTATGCCCGAGGACACCTTAACCTTTGAGGAGGCCTTGGCCAGCAACTCTGGACGTTCCTCTCGGACTTCCTATGTGTCCTCACTCACTTCCCATTCCCACCAGCTCTGCAGGGTCCCCAACGGCTACCACTATACCTTAGGGCTCAGTTCAGGGTCCGGCCAAGCTCCCAGAGTTCGAAGCTATTACCATGAAGCAGACGAGGATGACTGGTGCTAGCAGAGGGAGCAAAAGCACGTTCTCAGTCTCGCCCTTCACTTCACCAGGAAGCCGAAGCAACAGGAGCAGAAAGGGGGGGCTCTTGTTTCAGTTACTACTGATGAGTTTTATCATCAGCCAACAGATCGCCGTGACATCAGAGTATGTTTCGGTAGAGTAGAGGCAGTGACCTTAGGAGAAAGTTCAGAGTGAAAAATGAGGAAGAAATTATGAACGAGCAGGGCAGAGCCAGGGCAGGCCTCAGTTTTCAATTGTTCTGGCATTTGTCATATTTTCAGTCTTCCTTTTGGGGGAGAGTTACAATGCCTCTTTTCTAGTAATTGGAATATGGGATGTAGGACAAGATGGCAAGCCTGGAGGTTGGAGAAATGGAAATATGAGCAGCAAGTTTAGGACCGGAGAGTATTGAGTTTGCTTTTTTAATTATTTATATAGACTTTAAAGGATAGAAGGAGAATTATTGACAAGCTCTTCACCTTTCTATTCTCATCCTCCACAAACTTCTGAGAATTTTTTGATCAGTCATATTTGCCATCACATCCACTCTCCACTAACCTTTCATTGCTTAGCAGAGGAATTGCAACTGAAACTTGTTCATACGGACAGACATGACCCAAGACAGACCATGCAGTTGTTTCACAACCTCTACTTGTCCTGCTCTCTTCAGAAGTGGTGTCTGTGCCGTAGACATTTATTTTTCATTTCATAAGAGAGTTGGCATTTGAAGAAGGACACATTTAGCCAAGGGCGTTGTTTTGCTGGTATGGAGACACCACCTAACCTGACCCACTCTACCAACCAAGCTCAGCGCAACACCAAATCTAGAAAGGATCCTTAGAGGTTCCATTTAGTTGCAAGTCAGCAGATTATTATTTTACAGATATTGTGGTGCCTGAGTGGCAGTTATCATGACTGCTGAACAAAAAAAATTATGGTTACCCTTTAAACAAATGTTTGTATTGTGTGTCTGTGTGTGTGCTGCTATTATGATATGTAACTCCTTTAGTGCAAGAGGATCCCTTAGTGCAACTCAATGAATGCATGGGGGCCTGTCTCTCTGCACTAGTCTGTTCACTGTCCTAAAACTCACCAATGAGCCTTTTCTCCTGTCCTCAGCATAGCCTAGATTTTAGTAATGCACAGGTGTGAGTATGCATGTCTTTGGTTAGTGTGAGTTTTGCACATTATTTGGTCAATGAAGTTGCACTAATGTGTATTTCTAGTGGGATACTTTTTTTGTTTTTTCATTTTTGATGTATTTAAAGGTCATATTGGGAACTGGCTTCGATGATCGTTGACCAGTGCTTGTTCCCAAATTCATGCTATCTATGTTTTAGTCATGCTGTTTGCACTGAGCAACCCTGAAGACTTGTAGTTTATGGCAGTCTATATGTTCCTTCCATTTTATACTTTTAACAGCACCCCGTGCTACAGATGATTGTACACTCTTAGATTTGGGCTGACTGATCATTTTTATCATGGTTTCCTGTGCCATACAACTGTCAAGGCAGGAAGACCTCTGCCCCAGTGCCAAATGCTTTGAGTATCTTTGGGCTATAGGTAACACTGTGGCAATGTTTGCAAGCCCTATATACAAATGACTATTCTCTAAGTTCAGCCAAACCTTGAGGTGTCAGCCTGTCCTATGGCAATAAACCGGTCAGTGATTGGGGCAGATCTCATTCTGCTAGCGCCATGTGGCCTTTGCAGTCATATGTAGCATATAGTTGATAAAAAAAAAAAAAAAAAAAACGGCAAGCACAACACAATAGAGATATCTGGTGGGCTTGATATGAGGGATATAGTATATGTTCTGTGCATATTAATCTATTTTAAGGGCAAAGCTGATTTTCCAAAGACATTTTCAGAGGTCATAAAAAATGCAACAGTAGAGATTAAAATATTTTATTTGTTGTAGATCGTAACTACTGGCACTGCTGAATTGTTTCTCCACCCATAAAAGTGGAGTTTATTGACTCAGTTCTGTCATTAGTAGTGTTGTCTTTCGTTTTATTCTATATATAATTATTGCAGCATTTAACTGACAAAATACGTCATTGACTCCTTTAGGAGTTGTTTTCTTTTTTATTTACAAAAATATATTTAAAAAAAAGATATATATCTTAGACTCCTGTCTCGCACAATATATCAAAGAGTCAGACTTTGGTTGGATGAAGGTGGTAGAGAATATAGGCAATTGTCAGGGACAGTTTTTATTTATACATAACTTACCAAACTTCACGGCTGGTTTGTGCACTGTCGCAGATGTTTCACCATGTCTCATTCATTGCTAAGTGCCTACATTTTACAGATAGTGGTCTTACGAGCACGCACCATGACTCTATTATCCTTCAAACTCATGTCCTCTTATTTCTGCAAGAACTCTTTACATACATTTTGTACTATAGTATTCAGTAAGAGAAAGGCTGGCTGAAAAAAAAAAAAAAGATGGGCTTTTAGAATATACCTATATTTTTTATTACACTATATATGAAGAGTTTAGACAGTGTTAAATCACGCCATTGTACCTGTTTGGGCCACCATGGATTCCATGTATTAGATGACAGCAGACATTTGACACCCATAGTAAGGCTTTTGTGGAATGTTTACAAGCCATTGTTATGTTACCAAGCACCTGGATTGTAGTTTACGACTTTAATATATAACACTTTTGATTATTATTTTCTCTTTGAAGAGAGATTCCTAGCTGGGTGCTCTTTTTGTCTTAAATAAAACAAAACTGAGTTTTGATAGAACAACATAATAAACCATATTTAATCCACAGTGGCCAAAATTGATCACAAAGCATTGCAATAGTACTTTATGGATCACCTTGAAATTTTTTTTTTTTTTTTACAAATCTGGGCTCATGTAGAGGGACACTAGCCCTTAATTCTGCAGAACAATTTTATCAAAAATTGTAGTCCGTAGCCAGTGGAATCTAAGAAACCTACTGTCAAATTTTTAAAACTGTTGTCGATGTATTTCACTTTATCTCTTTAGGAATGCTCAGGCGCAAGAATTTCATTCAAATGTAGCCCAACATTTCATTCCAAACATATCTGCATGTTTATAATTGTTCATTCAACTGAAAAAGGGCTTTTGGGTATCAGTTGTGTGTAAGTGCAAATTATTGTCCAAAAACGCAGGATTCTTTTGCTGTAACTGAAATCAAGCTGAAGGATTTTGTGTTTAGGAGACAAGGGTAGATGTATATATTGGAGGCTGTGCTCCTGCCAAAGTAACCCCCTTTTCCACTGAATAATTTTTTTTTTTGAAGATTTGAAGGTGTCAAAACAATTCTGCAGATTCCTATAACAGTTTTGGAATGTTATATTACGCCATTGGACTGACATTTCATGCAGAAATTAATTCAGTTTCATGCAGAAGAGAGCAAAAACTATGTCAAACTTTGACCTACAAATTCAGGTCTAACATCACAAATTGTTATTGGTGTAGCAGTCAGTTTTAGATATCAGTAGCCCAGCTGTATCCTACACAGTCCTTCAAAATGCCCTTTACTTGCTGGTGCCTCTGCACGTCATTGGAACTGTATTTCCTACAGGGCTATGCAAGACACGTATCAAGAAATGCCAAGATTGCCAACTTCATCCAGTGCTATGTTGGACAAATCTCCCACATTTGAGGCTTATGGATAAATGCGACCAAATGTTTTCTATGTTTTTTTATTATTTTACTATCCCTGAGATGAAGAAAAAAAAATTAATAGGCACAACTTTCTGTGTTTTCTGAAAAAAAAAATCAAAATAAAAAAAAAAGATAAAAAGCTCCATAAAAACAACCATGAAAAAGACTCAGAAATTTAACATTTTACGCTGAAAGCATGGAACCTTCTTGTTTTATAAGCTGAAGTGTACGGCCTTCACTCTCACCCACATAGTCACACCTGGTCTGTGCTCTCCCCAGATGAACTATAAAATAACTATTTGCAGTGTTGTAAGCCAAGCTATTCAGCATGATGGGGTTATTGTTTAGACTGTACCTAAAGCTCAGTTTGTGCTTAAAGGGGTTGTGACTGGTTAAATTTAAAATGTGAGCTTGTGTTTTACCGGATGGCTAGTATCAAGGTAGAGCCACCAGTGAAAAGAGAATTCGTAGATGCCCTAGATTTTTTCACACAACACTGTTGCATTCACCTGGATTCTCACAGTGAACATTCTTCATGTAAATGGATTGCACCAAAGACTGCATTGTCTTCCGCAGCCTCCCCCTTTTATACTCGAATACTATTGTGTTTCCGTTTGCATGCAGCAAGGGATGGGCCCTCGGTGACCACCAAGTGTAAAAAAATAGACATTAATGAGTAAAATGCACATCTCTGCTAATTATGTTATCTGCCTGCACAACCCTTTTATAGCCTAATTTTTCACTTGGCTTTATGAGTGGACTTGGGGACCCCCTTGTCCCGAGTTTGACTGTTAAAAAAAAAAAAGTGCAGACAGCTGTCACTGCAGGTTCAGCTTTAGCTACTATCTTAAGCATATGTCTTTTAGTTTGAATCTGT